TGCTGCTGCCTTGACCAACGTGGCCCATTCCCTAGCCCTGGCTCTCGGGCTCACCAGGGGAAGACAAGCCCAGCCCAGGAGTGCCCATAGTTCCCCCACCAGGCAGGTTCCCAGCCTCAGATCTTGCACCTGCCAGAGATTACTTTGGTCCAGCCTAACATGACTCGTACCAAGTCCTGCCACTTGCCAGCTGGTACTATAGCCAACCTACACCCATTCTGGCTCTCATGCAAGTGGGTGTGCAGCCTGGCCCACCCCAGTCCCAGTTCTCATGTTCACAAGAGGAAGCAGCGGCCCAGCAGGGGTGTCCCTGAATTTCCCCCACCAGGCCCATTTCCAGCTCCAGGTCTTACACATAACCAGGTGCTGTGGCGCAGTCTGAGATGGCCCATCCCCGTTCACCTGCAGGCACTGCAGCCTGGCTGGCCTGGCCCGGTCCCAGCCTCACGTGAACTGGCAGGTGATGCATTCCAACACTCCTAAATCATCTGCACAGATAACCGGTTGTTGACACCTTTGCGTTTATCTAATTTTTATGTATTTCCCAGGCAGACAGAAATCCCACGTCCTGGTTCACTCCCCAGATGACCACAGCGCCAAGACGGAGCAGACTGAGGCCAGAGCGGGGAATTTCACGTAAAACAAAACAAAACAAAAAGCCGTTTTTGTCTCATGCAAAAGAGGAATCTTCCTGAAGACAATTTCAGTGTACAAAGCAAGGTTTATTCAAGATGTTAAAGATGGAACCCTCCAGCAGAGAGATGGAGGTTTTCAAGAAGGATTCCAGGAAAAGGTGGACGTGGTGTCCTATCAATGGCCAGCAAGCCACAGGCGCGTGGGGTCGAAGGCCGAGAAGGCCCCGCCGTGCTCCTGCTTCCATCAGCAAACACTGTCAAAAGTGTGATTGGCAACTTCTTTACGTTTTCACGATTAACTAAAAATTCAGAAGGGCAACTTTCTTTTCTTAAAAGATTTCTATTTTTATTGGAAAGTCAGATTTACAGGGAGGAGAGCGAGAAAGGTCTTCCATGCGCTGGCTCATTCCCCAAGTGGCCACAATGGCCAGAGCTGAACTGATCTGAAGCCAGGAGCCAGGAGCTTCATCCGGGTCTCCCACACAGGTACAGGGTCCCACGGCTTTGGGTCGTGCTCGACTGCTTTCCCAGCCCACAAACAGGGAGCAGGAAAGGAAGTAGAGCAGCCTATGGATACCAACCCAGCACCCATATGGGATCCAGGTGTTTGCAAGGCGAGGATTTTAGCCTTGAGGCTACTGCACCAGGCCCTCTTCCAGTTACTTAGTGTTTATTTTTTGCTACTAGGAAAGCAAAGCGTGAGACAGGGTGGGAGAGGCAGACAGGGAGAGAGAAGGCACATGCATGCACCTCGCTCCGCCCTCAAACGCCTTCTGCAGCCAAGGCTGGGCCAGCATGAGAAGCCAGGCCTCTCCTCGCCAACGATTTTCACTCTCCTTTTCCGAACAGCAGCTCTAGCAGGGCTGAGGTTATATCCCGCGACGGCTTTTATTTCCATTTTTCTGATGGCTCGTGACAGTATTTTTATACACTTTTTGGCCACTGATAGTTCATTTTTCAAGAACAGTCTATGCATGCCTTTACCCATTTCTAAACCAGATCGCTGGGTTTTTTGGCGGGAGGGAGGGGGGGTCTGTTGCTTGGCTTCCTGATACATTCTCCATATAAACACCTGTTAAAGTCAGTGGCTTGCAACTATGTTCTCTCATCCCGCTGGAAGCTCTTCACTGCACTGCCTGGTTTCCTGAGCTGAACAGAAGCTTCCAATCTGATGTACTCCCAGCTGGCTTCGTCATTCTTGTGGCCTGCACCAACTGAGGTACCAGGAGCCCTCTACCGTGAGCCTGTGAGTGCTGGGGTCTCCAAGCCCACTGCTCCTCCACCTGGTCATCATCATACGACCCCCTTCTGGGCTGGGAGTGGAGCAGCGGGTGTCCGCCCACCCTCACGTGGCCCTGGAGCCCGGGGTGTCCTGCACACTCTGCCCACCCGCCAAGCCCTCGGGAGGACCAGCCGCACTGCGTGTGCTCCTGTCTTGGCACACGTCCCCTCGGGAGCGGAAGGCCCCTGGGCCAAGCCCTGCAGCTCACTGCCTCCAGCTGGGACAGAGTTCAGCATCTGACCTCCACTCCCACGCTCCTCTTCGCCCTCGATTCCAACACGTACTCGGTTCACCGGACAGGCCTCCCACATCGGTACGCCACGCACCCGGGCAGGGGTGGGGACGGACAGATCCACAACGCCATGCCAGATCCAGGGACTATGATTTCAGTGGGCAGCAGCTGAAAAGGGGAGGGCGGGGAAATAAAAAAATAAGCACAACACTCTCCCAGGAGCCCCAGAAAGACTGTGAGCTCCTAACCAAAACCAGCCGAGGGCTGCTGTGAGCCACGCTGACGCCGCGCGCTCCAGAAGGCACCTATGCCTTGAAGAACAAGGAGCAGAGACCAGACCCACAGCCACTGCCTCCCCACATTTCCAAGAGTGAGAGGAGGGGATTTTTGGAAAGAACTTGCTCCCTTGAGTTTGCCAAGCGCCTGGGGAGCAAGCGTGAGTGTCGAAGGCACAGGGAGAGTGCCAGGAACCCACAGCCTGGGGTGGAGATCCGGACGGCCCAGATGGGACTGCAGGAGTTACAGCCACAGGAGTTGATGAACTCACCGTCAGATCCCGTGTCCAAGGAAGTGAGGACAAGAATGGGGCTCTGAGGAGCTCCAGCATCTACAGGGTAGACACGTGGGGCCCAGTGCAGTAGCCTAGTGGCTAAAGTCTTTGCCTTGTACTCACCGGGATCCCATGTGAGCACCAGTTTGTGTCCCGGCTGTTCTACTTCCCTTCCAGCTTCCCACTTGGGAAAGCAGTAAAGGACGGTCCAAAGCCTTGGGACCCTGCACCCATGCGGGAGACCCAGAAGAAACTCCTGGCTCCTGGCTTTGGAAGGGCTCAGCTCCCGGCTGTTGCAGCCACTTGGGTAGTGAACCAGTGGACAGAAGATCTTTCTCGCTCTCCTCTTTGTAAATCTTTCCAGTAAAAATGAATAAATCTTAGAGACATAAAGGAAGGGAAAGGAGCACCTTATAAGCAGATAGCAGGAGCTGGCATTGTAGCAGAGCAGGTTAAGTGCCACCTGCAATGCCAGCTGCTCCACTTTGAACCCAGCTTCCTGCTAATGGCCTGGGGTAGCAGCATAAGATGGGCCAAGTGCTTGGGCTGCTACTCTCACATGGGAGATCCGGATGAAGCTCCTGGCGTCAGCTCCCACCTGGAGCTTCCCACAGAGCGAGGCTGGAAGGAGGGACTCGGGCCTGTCCCGTCCTTGCCCTTGTTCCTGCGCTGCAGCCTCTCAGTGGAGCACAGGGCCCAGGCGCCTCGGAACCCGGACAGTTCTTCCACTGGCCAGCCCCACGACCCCAGTACAGTCCCACAGAGTGATTTTGATTCCTTCAGAGCACGTGTAACTCAACAGTTGTGGCTTGTGTATTCTCCCAGCCAGCATGTAACACAAACAGGGCACTCTGTCAGCCTTGTGAATTCTAGCCTGGATTCCGGAAACACCTGGGATGTGGCAGGGGCCACACACACACACACACACACACACACACACACACCTGGGATGTGGCAGGGGCCACACACACACACACACACACACACACACACACACACACACACGCTCGCGCGCGCGCGCGCGCTAAATGACCTGGGTGATTCCAAAGACATGCTGGAAACTGCTTCTGCCAGAAAAGCATCCTCCTCGACCCCTTCACGTGACCCAGAAAAGGCGAAGGGCATACACCCAGAGATGCGCCTTGGACCAGGTTCCATTCTTAAGCCATTCCTATTTAAAGATTAATTTGAAAACAGACACTATACTTGATCTTAGCCAAAAGGCTGAGAAATTATCCTCAAGATTTATTTACTTACTTATTTGAAAGACAGATGGGGTAAGGAGTTCGAAAGAATTTTCCATCTGCTGGTTCACCCCCCAAATACTCCCAACAGCCAGCTTGGGCCAGGATGAAGGCAGAGCCAGGAGCTTCTTCTGGGGTCTCCCCACATGGGCGCAGGGCCCCAAGTGCAGAAGTGGAGCAGCCAGGACTCGAACCAGCGCCCGTGTGGGATGCGGGTCATAGGAAGATCTACCTGCTATGTCACAACTCTGCCTCCTTGAGCCACTTAGCCAGCCACACATCTTCACTGAGCTGAGACAAGGAAACTGCCGCCTGGCCAGCTCACTGCCTCAGTGCCCGACGATCATGCTGCCACAAACTATCACATGTACACCAGGAAAATTTGGAAATTACCAAGAATTGTGACAAAGCAGAGGAAATCCACTAGGAATATTCCTTAGTACCTTTGCTACATGTTCAGGGTAACAATCTGCCAACCTTCCCTCCTGGCCCGTAAGCCGCAGCCTCTGCTGCCACTGGAAACGTTCCCAGGAACATCTCTAGCTTAGAATTCACGGTCTGGATAACCCGCTCACCTGGCTGTCCTCGAGTCTTTTTTTTCTGACCACAGATAACTATCCCCAAAACATTTATATTGATCAATACATAAACATTTGCTTGTATTTGTTTTAATGTTTTCCTTAAAATAGAAGCCCACGCAGCTAAGGCTCTTTATACCATCCCCGATAAGCGCACAAAGAAAACCTCTACAGAGGTCTAAATACTGAATAAAATATCAAAATCACCCCGTGTTTCATAACAGATCAAACAACTCCACAGACCTCTGGCAGCGTTCCCTCAGAAAGCTTGGTTGTGGGCCAGCACGTGGACCTCCTGCCAAGCACGCGGCCCCGGGAGCACAGAGACCTTGTCCGCCTCGCAGTAGCTGGCACAGTCAGCGTTCGTTAACTGGCTAGCTGGATAGTCAACATGCCGAGGAAAACCCAACAGGCAATGCGTGCCGACCGCCAGCCCAGCTCCCCACACCCGCTTCGCAAGCAGAACTCAGCCCCGTTTATTCTTCAGTCACGGTTCCATTTATTCTTCATACAAATATTTTACAGTTTTATTTTTCAATCATTTACATGTATTCATACAAAGAAAAATACATTTCAGGATGGAACTTTGGGCCCATGGTAGTTTAAAACAAAATCTCTCTGATCATTAGCTACTGAAGGTGGCAGGCGCCAGACCGGCAGTGGCGTCTCCCCACGCAGGGGCCCGGCCAGGGGCTGCCCGGCTTCCCTCAGCCTTCACCCTGTGGAGGTAATGTGGGGGAAAGTGGTCTCCCAACCCTCTCCCCTGGAAATAGTTCAAGAAGTACCACCAAAGGCTCAGGGGACACTGAACCCCCTCTCTACTCACAATTTGGCAAGATGACCATTTCTGAACCAACCAAGGAGTGTCGGGCTCAGGCCCTACTCATTGCTCATCTGAATTCACTGTGATCCCTGCCCCGCTTGCTCAGTCCTCCCTCCAAAGACCAGAGTCCCTGACCCGACCCCAGCTAGTGCCCCTGGGCAGCGCGAGTCCAGATGCTCTCTGGAGCAGCAGACCCCGGCAGCTGCACAGGATCCCATGGTGTTCGCTCCCACTTCACTGCATCAGCATCATCAATAGCATCTACACACGGCCAAGAGCGCCAACGGTGACAGAAATAACCAACTCGGCCCTACCCAGCCAAACTTGACACATGAGACAAGTCAACTGCCAACACATCCTGCCCTGGCGTCAACATGAGATGCACAGATGAAGAACTGCCTACACCAGCCGCTCAGGGACGCTGGACTGTTGCCGACTTCCAATGAAAGCAGGGGAAAGGGCAGACATGACAGATGTGGCAGACCCCATCAGAAGTGGTGGCTGATGACAATGGCTTCCCTGTATCACTGGGTCCTCCCCCAAAATGCAGCACCAGGAAAGGGCGTGATGAGCAGAGAGAAATCTGTAGCTGGACATGTGGCCCCTGAATTACCAAGGGCCTCGGGCAACACAGCTCACTTCCCCACGATCACACAGGAAACTACCCAGTGGAGACTGCGCCCCCACACAGAGGCAGCCCCCGAGGTCGCCCAGCTAGCGGCCACCCCACCAGCAGGCCCACTGCGGGGGACGGAGTCCTATCCAGAGCGGGGAGCCCTCTGGGCAGACACAGGGCACCCCATCCCACTGTCACTGGGGCAGGCCAAATAGCGCCAGGAGGGCAGGCAGATCCCGGGCGTCAGCCGCCCCATAGGCATCACTCTGGCCCAACATGGACAAGGCCAAGCGCAAGGTGCTCCAGATGTTCTCCGACATGGCGCCCCCTTCCCCCCGGGGGCCTCGGCTTTTCCGCTGCATGTTCAGGGCCTCCAGAAAGTGCTCCACAGCCTCCCTGTGGGAAAGGACGAAAGTGAGAAGCGTGTGAGGCAGGCAGGCAGGCAGGCAGGCAGGCAGGTCAGGCAGGTCAGGCGGCTTTGGGACAGAGGAGGCTGGGGCCGGCTAGAGGTGGAGCGGCTGGGGGAGTCAGGAAGAAACAGCTCCCTGGCGCCCCACTCGAGAGGGACCCTCACCGGTGAGCCCCGAGATTGATGCAGCTGATGCCCAGGTTATAGCGTGACCGGATGTAGCCAGGCTGCAGCTCCAGGGCCCGGCGGTAGGCAGCCACTGCTTCCTCGCTCTGGTTCCCGTTGGCCAGGGTGGCCCCCAGCTTATTCCACAGCAGATAGTCCTGGGGAAGGGGTGGGGAGGATGGGAACACAAGCCCAGGGGAGAATCCTGCCCCCGCCACCAGCTCCACTGCTCTGTTCAATGGATGCATGCAACCCTCCCAGCCACCTCCACAGCAACACTGCGCGTGGCGGCCACAACACAGCCTGTCCCTCCCCAGGCAGTACTCCCACCCTTCTTCCCAACCCTCCAAGGCAGCCAGTGTGCACGGAGCACCAGCCTGCATGCAATTCACTCCCGACTCCAAAAATCCCAACAAACGATTCTTCGGCAAGTTACGGGCTCCTGTCCCGAGTCTCCCTCCCGGGGCTCACATCGGGCCGGACACTGAGGGCAGCAGTGAAGCAGTCCACGGCCTTGTCATACTCCCCACTGAGGTTGAAGAGCACCCCCAAACCACACTGCACATCAGGGTCAATGGACGCGGGGTCCAGGCGCACAGCTGCCAGGAACAGCTCCTTCACTTCGAGGAACAAGGAGCTAGAAGCGGAAGAACCCACACATCAAAAAAAAACAAGTCAAAGGATGTGTCTGCTTCACAAACAACTCCTCAGAATGAGCGAGCCAGGCCTCCCAAGTGCATCAGTGCCCCGCCATTCCTCTTCCTCACCAACCCATCCTGGAAGCCCACCCCGCTGTCATCACAGCAATGCGCTGGCAGATGAAGACCCCCACACTGATCCCAGCCTTCCTGACCCACTCCTCTGCCCAAACTTGCAAAGTCAAGGTCATCTTCCTCCTGAGCACTCGGGGTGCCATCCTCCTCCACTTGTGTAGGAACCCCTCACACTCACTCAGACAGCAGAGATCCCAGGAGGCGCTTGCTGGGACCCAGGCCGGCCCCACCAGCGCCTTCTTCACCAGGCGACACCAGGTGGGCATAGGCTGGCGTGTAGCGCAGCCAGTCCCGCAGAGTTTCACAGGCCTGTCGCTGGAGGGACTCGTTGGTGAAGCTTACGGCCAGCGCCATCAGTGCTGTCCGGTTGTCTGGCTTCAGCTCCAGGCACCTGTTGACACAGGGATGGGCACGCTTGGCACCTATGATGACACTGGTACCCGTCGGCATTCTGGGATCCAAGCCAGGTTCTGAAATGCAGAGTCACGATGGCCCCACCTGCCCAACCTCCTCACATTAAGATACAGAGAGCTTCCAAGGGGAGAGTTAATAATTAAGTCACAGAGCTGAGTACAGCAACATCTTCACAGCCAGTGAGCAACGAGAAGCATTGTGGGAAAACACACCTGCTGGCAGCCAGACAGGACAGGGCATCTGGGTCCGGCCTCCCCTCCCGTGAAGACCCTCTGCGGAGCCCAGGACCGCTTCGCTCCCAGTCAGTGCACTCACCTCCGCAGGGCACTGATGGCTAGCAGTTCCTGCTCATTCTCCGCCTGGGTGGTGCCCAGATACTGCCAAGCCTGGAGAGGACAGACAGACTCCCTCAGCCGACAGTCACCCTCCACTCTGTCTCCCACTAGCTTTCCTACTCACCATCTCACTCGCTCTCTCGGGCCTCCCTGTCCCCCACCCCGCGATCTGAGACCACCACCCTCTGTGCCCTCTGGGGGCTCCCTCATCTGCAGTCAGCATAAGCCACCCACTTCCATGTGCTTGGGATCCTGCTGCACGGCAGCCTCGAAGAGCAGCACGGCATTGGGCAGGTCCCCTTCCTGGAGCCGGCGCAGCCCTTCCTCAAAAGGCTGGGGGTGATCACGCAGGGGATTGTCCTCCTCGAACTGGTAGCCCTGTGGGAAGCAGCCCGTGAGACAGTGAGGGGCGCCGTCAAGGTCAGAGCGGCAGGGATAAGAGCACAATACACCCAGACAGTGGCGGAGCCCAGAGTGTTGACGCCGGCACTGTGCTTTGCTGGTAGAGCACACCACGCCCCCGACAGTGACTTCACACCGTGTCAGGCTCGGTGGCCACCTGCTGAACCAAGCAAGCGCACACATGAGGCCATGGGGGCGGCAAGCTGATGTCTGGGAAGTCTACACGGGCCTATGTTTCTACTGCCTTGACTTTTCCCTTCTGGACAGGACGGGTTTGCTAACAGGACTGCTCGCTGTAGTGAGATCAACTCTCCTGAGCCGCTCAAAGAGCACCTGGCAAGGGTCCTCGACAACGTGGTCACATGCAAAGGAAACCCAGTCTGGAGGCAGAAGCACGACCACAGGCCACTGTGCCCTCCCAGCTGGGGGCTTCTCCTTTGGGAGGGGCGTTAACGACACCAGTGTCAGCTGGTCAAGGAGGTGGTAAAGGAAGACACAATGTTACTGGGGCTTCCTGTGTCTTGGGAGAAGTAAATAAAATATTCCTTTTCTTCAGAAGTAAATACATCCATCATAAAATATACTACAAAATGTAAAATATAAGTAGGGTCTTTTTAAATGTGGCTAAGGGCGAGTTAGAAAAATATACGTATAATATAAAAGCAGGAGACTCATCAGGAACACTTAACTCTTACAGCAACACTGGGAACTACCATCCGGGGCAGATTACTTACCACAAAGGAAAATTAAACCACCGCACAAGGGGTGTAAGAAGTGATACATCATAGGAGACACATTTGAAATAAGCGTACAAAGCATGCTCCTGGGACACAGCCACGCTCCGGAGACATCCCTGTGGCCATAAACACTCGGCAGGGAGATGAGCCTAGGCCAGGGCTCAGCAAACTTCTTCCGTAAAAGGACCAGAAAACAAGCACTTCAGGCTTGGCGGGTCTGCCACAGCTACTTAGCTCAAGCACTACCACACGCAAGTCCGACAGCACATAAACCAAGGAACAGGGCTGAGGTCCAACCAGACGTTACAGACACTGAAATTTGAACTTTATTTAATTTTCATGATTCATATTCCAACCATTCTCTCTAGCCACTCTAAGCAGCTAGAGGACCACACAGGAAAAAGCAGCAAGCAGATTTACTCCATAGGCCATAAACTGTAATGCTTTATTAGTCAGCAAAATACTTCCTGGAGCCCACGTTGTGGCACAGCAACTAAAGGCACCATCTGCAATGGGGGCATCCCGCACGCGTGCTGATCAGTGTCCTAGCTGCTCCATTTTCTTTTTGTCTTTCCTTTTCTTTTTTCTCTCCTTCCTTACTTCCTTTTTTTTGTTTGTTTGTTTGTTTTTTTTTTTTTGGTTAAGATTTATCTATTTAATTGGAAAGGCAGATTTATACAGAGAAGGAGACAGAGAGAAAGACCTTCTGTCCTCTGGTTCACTCCCCAAGTGGCTGCAACAGCTGGAGCTAAGCTGATCAGGAGAGCCAGGAGCTTTTTCCGGGTCTCCCACACGGGTGCAGGGTCCCAAGGTTTTGGGCCGTCCTCAACTGCCTTCCCAGGTAACAAGCAGGGAGCTGGATGGAAAGTGGAGCAGCTGGGACACGAACTGGCGCCCATATGGGATCTGGCACATGCAGGGCAAGTATTTAGCCACTGCACCATCATGCCAGGCTCAGCTGCTCCATATTCAGCACAGCTCCTTACTAATATCCTGGAAAAAGCATTGACCCAAGTTGTCTGAGGCCCTGCCACCCACACGGGAGGATGAGGCTCCTGGCTCATAGCCGTCATAGCTATCTAGGGAGTGAGCCGTGGATGCAAGAGGGATCGAGCTCTCCCCCCGCACCTACCCGCTGTACCACAGCACTGCCCCTCCTCCACCCCTACTCATTAGAACTCTATATGATGAACTCATCCACTGGTGAACTACAAATTAAAATCACCAGAAATAATACTTCCTGTTACATCAGACCAAATGGTTTTCAGAAATGCCCAACAAGCAAATTCCTGCACTGCCTGAAGCTAGATCTTTCGCTGACCAACAGACCCCAACTTTCTGTAAGTCAAGCTGAACCTCGCTCCCCTCTACGTCCACAGAATGCCCTTGTCCTGCCCAGCTCCAGCATCTTAGTTTCCATCTCGGAAGAAGCCATCACTACTCCATCCTGCCCCCTGCCATTCTTCCTCTTCTCCCACAGGCTTCGACTCAGGAGCTCCGTCGGCAATCACACCCCAAGACACCCCGCAACCCGCACGATATCTGTGTGGTCCAGGGAAACTCCCGAACAGACACCAGTCTCTAGATGTGCAGTGCCTGCTGCGTGCAACATCCGCTCATGCTCCAGCACTGACTTACGCTTCACAGCAGACCCTAACCTGGGCAAGGGCTCTGTGAGATTAAACTTAAAATAAGTGTATGGGCTAAGAAAAAAATAATAATAATGATAATAGTGGGGCCCACATGGTGGCCTCCACCTGCACCGTCAGCAACCCTCACGGGCGCTAGTTCGAGTCCCAGCTGATCCGTATCGGATCCAGCCCCCCGCCTATGGCCTGGGAAAGCAGTGGGGGATGGCTCCTGCACCCACAGAAGAGACGAGTTGAAGCTCCTGGCTTCAGACTGCCTCAGTTCTGGCTGTTGCAGCTGTTTGGGAAGTAAACCAGCATATGGAATATTTCTCTCTCCAGCTCTCCTTCTCTATAAATCTGCCTTTCATATAAAAATAAACACATCTTAAGAAAGGGAGGGAGGGAGAGGGAGAGAGAGACAGATCCACTCCACTAAACGAGCCAGTCACCTCTCCAATGTGTCCAGCCCAACTCCCAAGCAGCGCTCACCCACCCCAGTCCTTACAGTTCACAGACATCATGTCACTGCACTGCCACTGTTAGGCGAGGACAGCCTTCCTAACCTTTCTACCCGAGAATAAAGTCCACCAGCAGTTACCAGGGGAGGACAGGGGCCAGGGAGACTTTCTTCTTTCCACAGCAAGAGACTCAGGAAAATTAACAGGAGTCAGTGTCCTTCAACTGCCTCACTCACAGCGCACTCTGAAACCTGGAAAAGCTCGGGTCCTCACCTTATCGTAGGAGGCAGAAGTGAGGTCATCGTAGTCAGAGAGCCAGGGGTGAGCCTCCGCATCCCGTTTGGCCATCTCCTCCAACTCTGCCTGCAACTTGTCCCAGAAATCGACATCAGACTGCAAGGAAGGGAAGGCAGGTAGACATGGGGGATCCTCCACGGCCGCCCCGCCCACCCAACCCTGCAACACTATTTGAGAGTCCTCTGGAGAGCTCTCTGAAGATTCCCAGATCCTACAGTCTGATGTGAGACCTGGGAACCTGCATTTCTGAGAAACACAGCTGACCCAGGTGCCCGAGGAAGCAAAACATTGACCACTCGGACACTGACACACCCGACTCTCTCGGGACGGTGGGACACGCTTTCTCCTTTGCAGGCGCGTCAACTCCTGCACCATCCGCTCTCACCTCTATGGCTGACTTCGCTCGTTCAAACTCCATGTCGAGGGCAGAGTTGTTCACCGGTCTTGCAAACTGGTCAACCCAGGCATCTGAAGTGCCCTGTGACAAAGAAAGAAGATCACCACTATCAACAACTACTAGGAACTTCCCACCACTCAACACACATCACATACCCATTCAAAACCACCAGCCTGGGCACTTCGGAGACCATTCTCAGACTCTCCCCTCCCACACGGGACCTGGCTGCTACCACAAGCCAGCAAGAAAACCCCTTCCCTAGCGGGGCCCGCTGGACACTGACCCCAAGGCCTGGGGCGCTGGCTGCCTCTGCAGGGGGATGGGAAGTGACCACAGCCTACCTGCTGCTGTATAAACTCTGCTGCCCACTGTTCTGCCTGAGCTCGGCCCGACCCTGCCACCGACTCCAGGGACACCTGGCCCTCGCCAATCTGCCGCACGAATTTCAGGAACTGGGGCACAGAGACACACACACAGGCCACTTGGGAGAGGACCTGCTGGTGTCCTCTCCACACTCAGCCACACCCAGTGGGGGTCCTGCACTTGGGTCTCCCCCTGCCCAGCTCCAGCTACACACAGGACAGGTGCTGAAGACCCCAGAAAAGCAGACAGTGTCCAAGAAAGGGGTTTCTGGCTCTAAAGGGTGCTCAGGCCAGAAATGACAGGAAGAAGACAGAAGAAGTATGGGGCACAAGAGAGTGGGCAGTAGACCCGTGACCTCATTTCTTCCTCTGAAAACCAAATGCAAGGCCCTCGCCTTCCAAGACCAGCTTCTGGGCCCAGCAACAGCGGGACGTGGCTCACCTCCGAGTTAGCCAACTTGGGATCATCCACCTTGGCCACAAAGTCACTGGCTGTGTGCTGCAGATCCTCCTCAGGATGATACTCATCATGCCTGGGGCAGGAAAGGACACACCTTCACCCACTCGTCTGCCCGCACTGCACGGGGCACCTCTGGGCACCAGCTCCCACGGGTGCACTGGGTCTGGCCTCACGCTACCTAAGCCGACCGACACTGATGTAAGATATCTGAACAGAAGTCAGAGGGCTTCCTCTTACTATCCCTTTCCAAAGGAAGGAAAAAACAATAACAGGTTCAAATGAGAAGGAACAAGACACGCAGCACGATCTTTTGGCAGGACTGCTGGCATCCTTCACCTGTTTTTGAAATGTTGAGTTATAGGGGTCTAACATAAATGAACACCTTAAAGAATAATGCAGAAAAAGAGGGGACTGAACGTTGGCTTGGAAATGCAGAGGGTAGAGAGGCTGGGGAAGCTGTCCGCATCTGGACTGCTTCCACAGGGCAAGGGGCAGGGGGAGGGTAGGGAGTGGACTCACCACCGGTCGGCCGCAGCTGCTCCCTCAGGCTCCCCCAGCCACAGCTTCTCCTCGGACTGCTCCAGGTACTCCTCAGCCCAGCGGGCAGGAGACACAGACAAGGGGTCTGCAAGCAGCAGGTGACCCAGAACTCAGTGTGACACTGGGCAGAGGGCTACACTCCAACAGCCCTCTTCCCCACGCTCAAGCAGACACAACTGCAGGGGCTTGCTCCCAGCCCGTGAGTCAGAAGGAAACTGTCAATTCTCAACATCTTGTGCAATAGCCGATTCAAGCCCAAGGGCTGTGGGGTGAAAATGTACTGACACGTGGGAACGGGAGAAGACCTTCCAGGGTCATAATGTCCTCCTACAAGGGGGAAGAATCCGAAGGCAAACTCTTTGATCTTGAAGTACAGGAGGCCTCAATCAGAAACAGCAAGTACTGGGGCATCTTCCCTCCTCGAGGAGAATGCAGAGAAACAGCAAGGAGCTATGGGAGAACAGAAGACGTGCCTCTCTTCTCTAACCAAACCTCCTGCTACCTGCAGCTCCCCCATTCCAGCAACTGGACATGCCTTCCATGAGAACCTGACATGCGAAAGCGAGGCTAGAACTGAAGATACGTGGGCATGCTATTCCCACGCAGTGCTCTGAAATGTCACATACAAACATCAAAGTACATAATGGGCACCTAACCCAGGTGTACCAGTGGACTCCGAGCTCCAGCCCAGGCACAGCAGTTACCTCCCCCCTCCCCGGGCTCTTATCTGAACCCAGCCCCCGAAGGCAAGTGCTAGGCTAACATCTGTAGCTTAGGATAAGTTTTGAGCAGCTGAGGTTTTCAGTCTAATGCAACACATTATCTCAGATGATGACAAAGGGCACTTCCCCCACCCAACAAAAGATGAAGCTATCAAGGCAACAAACAGGGTGGGGTGTCAAGCTGCTTCTCCACAGCCAGGACGCCAGAACTTTGCCCTTGACTATCCAGGGGTCATCGCGCGCATGCATACACACACACACACACACACACACACCCCCACCCCCACCCCCAAGGACCTGAGCAGTAAGTCTGCAGACACAGCACACCTGCAGGGTTCCATCCCAGTGGGAAGCTGGGTGTAACTGGAACAGGCGGAAGGCAGATCTCTCCCCTTAGCACTGACATGTAACAATCTATTCTGCTTTAAGTGAGACTCTGCCTGAATAATTTCAACAAAGTGATTTCTGGGAAAATGTCAAAATTACCAAAAAAAAAAAAAAAAAAAAAGGAAGACTCCAGGGCCTCACAATACACACGCCCAGATGTCAGTCAGTCATCTAGGATTAATAAAAGGTGTGCTTGCCAGCTGTTTTTTGGTCACAGACCCTGAGGACTCTCAATGATGACATCCACTGCTTCCGCTGGCCCACGCACGCACGCATGCAGACGGAAAAGGAGACACTTAGCCCTTCCCCAGGCTTCCTAACACCTCCTGGTGCCTGGGTCCAGTTCATTCAAGGCTAAGAACCAGTCCTGCCTCCTTCCTCTCCAGTGACTCCCTGCGCAAGTCTCAGGGACCACATGCTCGCTCAGTTACAAGACCATGGTCTGGGCACGCAATTCCCATGGGGAGCAGCAACAGCGAAAACTCGAGGTGCCTGGACTTCACCGCAGACATCGGGAGAGTAAAAACTCCAGAGGTAAGAAGACTTGTCCTCAAGCCGTTCCCGTCTGGCCACTCTAGCCACAGGCTCCAGAATCTTACCAGCAGTAGGCACCACCTCTAACAAGGAACCAAATAAAATGACAAAAACCTAACACTTGGACTTCATGATCTTGTATAGAGTAAATCTTAAAGAAAACTGTCTAGGTCACAAGTTTCCTGGTTAGAACCATCAGCCTGGACTTCCAATTCAGGAGTTCACCTTGGGGTGGGTGTGTGGCACCGTGCGTTAAAACTGCCAGAATCCTGACTGCTGCCTGGAGTCCTGAATACTCTGCTTCCAATCCAGCTCCTCCCAGTGTGCCCGGAAGGGCAGTGGCTGATGCTGCCTAAGTATCTGGAGCCCAGCCCTCACCTAGCTTTAGCACAGGTGTTGTGGGCATTGGAGAAGCAAATCAGTGGACAGAAGACATCTCTCTCTTTTTGCCTTCCAAGTAATTTAAAAATAAAGAATACTCACCTTGTTGCATGCATATCTATTCTACCTAGACCATCTACCTCAAGCTCAAAAATCAAAAGCTGACAGCTTCCCACCCTTCTCCATCCAAGTGCCTGTCCGCTAGATAGCACCGTGGCCAAGAAGGCAGGCTCCGACAGTCAGCTTCCCACACTCAACCCCAACTCCACCACTCTTCCTTTAACCCCCAAGTTTCCATTTCCTTATCCGCAGAAACAGATAGCAAGAGCCACCTCACAGGACTGCCATGAAGACCAACGCTCAAAGTCACAAGTGTCAGCTCGTCATGAGCTGTCTGCTTGCGGCAAACCCACAGCGCCGGAGAACTCACCACCGCGAGCCTGTCACTGTTCCATCCCCGCCACCACAGGGGGATCGCTCCCGTCACTGTCCTGCTGTCTCCTGCCTGCCCGGCAGAGCCCTGGCTTGTCCCCTCCCGTGAGGACCATCTCACGCACAGGGACCGCATCAATGGCAGCTGTCTAAATTCAAGGAGCCTGAGCCGAGCAAGCACAAGATAGGGAACCACTCAGCGCAGAAGCCTTGGGTGGGATGGGGGATCACACCAGCAAATGGGAAAGAAGAAAAAGCGACCTTCAGGTGATGGGGACCAGCCCTTTCCCTTGCCGGTGCTGCCTACACAAACCTGCACACCTGATAAAACCGCACACTATTCACATGCATATGTAAGCGCATGCAGACCAGTTAATGCTGTAACCGGATTTCACCCACAGCAATTCCTTGATTGGGCTATTATGCCTACCTAAACTATAAAGTGTTAGCATTATGGCAAACTGAAAGCCACACGAAACGGTCCTGTCTATTTTTCTTTTCTGCCATTTCCAGTGAACATGGTACTTATTCCTAAAATAAAATTAAAATCAAAGACTGCCGAGGCCGGCATCATGGCACACCAGATGAGCTGACTCCTGACACACCAGCACCCCTCACCAGCACCCCTCCACGAGTGCTGGCACGGGGCTCGGCTGACTGCTACTCCAGCTCCCCACCCAGCCGCCTAGCAAAGCAAGGGACAGCCCAGAACTTGGGTACGTGCGAGACCGGGATGCTCCCAGCTTTGGCATTCCAGCTGTTACAGCCAGGAAGTAAACAAATTAATGGAGCTCAATAAATACCTAAAAATGTTTTTGAAAATCAGTTTTTAAGTTTCATTCCAAACTTGATTCTACGATCTTGGTGGGAATTTCAGAAGCATGAGAACAGGGAGATAACCTCTGGCTTCAAAGCAATACTTAGCGACGAAGCCACAGTCAGCCCTCGCCACACCAGCCACAAATGCTGCTTTTGAGGCTAATGTAAGCTGCCCTTTCTCCCAAATCTTTAATTCAATGACCAAGTCCTATCAAAGCAGCACACTCCTGGAGCCTGAAGGCGGCTCCAAACCCAGCCTCCCTCCCAGCCCCTCCCGTCCCGCCTCTCTGGAGCAGAAAGTTCCAGAAGAACACGCAGACTGCAAGAAGAGATTTCCAAAGAGCATTCAGCAAGCGAGAAAGGCCTAGGAGCCTTTTAAAAAATATTCTACACGTGCAGGCTAAGGAAGGTCTCTGTACACAGTCTCCGCGGTCAGAGTTCTGAAGTTGCAGCTTCATGCGAAAAACGCAAAGCTTCTACTTGGGACACGATCTTTGCCACAGCTCAAGTTTACTGAGGTAACTCCCAGAAGATTCTCAACTGCAGCATGGCCATGAACGCGGGGCCTGGCGCCAGACAGGCAGGAGTCCAAGCATCGTCTCTGACACAGAATGGCTTGGGACAAATCCCCGTTTCCTCGTCCATAAAACGTGACTTCCACGCTTCATGATTCTAAGGTCGGCAATACCTCTAAGCGGCTCGTGAGGATCAATAAAGGGGTTTAACATAAAGTGCCAAACGCTGTCAAGGAAAACATGGTCCCTACTATCCCCTCCAACTTCAGCATACGGCTGGGAAAGGAAGAAAGTGACACACAGCTTTCACTAAGAGGTTGGGGTTTGTTTTTGTTGCTGGTTTAGACTTTAGCCTTTCCCTTTGCCACCATTCAGACAGGCCTAAGGGATGCAATGAGCAAATATGCTTTCAAAGGAAACTGAGGCTGAGTCCCTTTAAAAAGAGCAAGAAAAAGATAGCTAAACTGCAAGACAGTCTGCTCACAGTCTGGGATCATTCAAAGTCGGGGCTGGGACTCAACTGGCTAATCCTGTACCTGTAAATGCCCGCACCCCATACACACGCTGGTTCATGTCCTGGCTCTTCCACTCCCCATTCAGCTCCCTGCTTATAGCCTGGGAAAGCAGCAGGGGATGGCCCAAGTTCTTGAACCCCTACACCCATGTGGGAGGCTACAAAGATGCTCCTGGCTCTTAGCTTTGGATCAGCTCAGCTCTGGAGGGTGAGGGAATACCAGCAGACAGGAAAAAACTTGTCTCTCCTCCTCTCTGTAAATCTGCCTTTTTCAATAAATCTTTAAAAACAAAGACAAAAAAATCTGGGTCCGGCACAATAGCGTAGTGGCTAAAGTCCTCGCCTTGAATGCACCAAGATCCCATATGGGCGCTGGTTCTAATTCCAGCGGCCCCACTTCCCATCCAGCTCCCTGCCTGTGGCCTGGGAAAGCAGTTGAGGATGGTCCAAAACCTGCACCCACGTGGGAGACCCAGAAGAAGTTCCTGGCTCCGAGCTCCTGATTGGCTCAGCTCCAGGTGTTGTGGCCACTTGGGGAATGAATGGGCGGACAGAAGATCTTCCTCTCCGTCTCTCCTTTGATCTGTAAATCTGACTTTCCAATAAAAATAAATAAATCCTTTTAAAAAAATTTTAACTCCACCAAGAACAAAGCTGTATTGTCACCTGAGCAAACTGCTTAACATATAAACCACAGTTTTTCTATCTACAAACTAGAACCAAAAACACTAACTCCACTAGGGTTCTCATGAGGATTAAACAGACAAGACACTAAAAACATCACACAGAGTCCAGAGGAAGGCAAACAGAGTCCACTGTTATTGCTAACTGCTGTCATGATAGCACAGCCTGTCCCCTCCAAGGCCACACACAGTAGGTGTCACAGGAGAGACTGGTTCTAGTCACCTCCTAGGAACACTGAAATCTGCAGGTGCTCAAGTCCCTTAGACAATGACAAAGTGTTTGTATAAACACAGTCTCTAGAAGTTGACCAGAAGCATGTATTATGAAAAGACTAACGACGAATCTCAACTCCTTTTGTGTCAAAAATGAACATAGCCTCCAATTCCTTTTTTTTTTCCCATGAACTTTTAGGTGCCATTGCATAGCCAATGCATACACGCCCGTACACTCAGGTTCCCTGCAGATGACTTGCAATACCTAACACAACATTGCTGGATGCACAGCTGCTGCCCTGTGTTGTTTAGAAAATACAAGGGTCAATGCCTCCACCTGCGGCCCCAGCATCCCACGTGGGCCTCAGCATCCCACCTGCGGCCCCAGCATCCCACATGGGCCCCAGCATCCCACCTGCGGCCCCAGCATCCCACATGGGCCTCAGCATCCCACCTGCAGCCCCAGCACAAGTCCCAGCTGCTCCACTTCCCATCTAGCTCCCTGCCAATGAACCTGGGAAAGCAGTGGAGGGATGGCCCACATGGGAGACCAGGAAGAAGTTCCTGGCTCCTGAGTTCAGACCAGCCGGCTTTAAGCGTTGCAACTCTTTGGGGGAGTGGACCAGTTAATGAAAGATCTCTTTCTCTCCTTATTTCTCTCTTAACTCTTTCAAGCAAAAATAAATAAATAAGTTTGTAAAAACAAAAAAGTAAATGACAGGAAGAAAAATAAATGAAAAAACAAACATTCACATGTTCAGAATACAGAAGATTTCCCCAAATATTTCCCACCCATAGCTGGCTAAGTCCAAGGCCGTGGCACGCAGACACACGAGGCCTCTGAAATCCACAAGCCACTCTCGAAGGTCCCAAGTCTATTCAAGCTGCGTGAAAGCCAGAGTTCCAGCGAGCGTGCTAAGTGTTTCTTCCTGGGCATCCAACGCACACACGCTGAACGCCGGAAACAAAGGTTCGCTAACCAGGAAGGAGCCCTCGCCCCTTGCTCTCCCTCACACACGAAAGCGGGTCAGGAGACCAGGGAAGTCCAGGCAACGGAGACATGCTGAAATGCTCCGACAAGTTACAGAAACGTACAGCACGCGGCCCCAAAGGCGCCGGTCCCGACGCTGCCATGGGTCTCACCTGTAACCTCCGCAATGAACTCCTGGGACCAGTCGGTCTCGTTGTAATCCTGACTTACATCCACAGCATCGCCCGCCGCGAGAAACTCCTGCGCCCAGTTCTCAGATAAGGCCAAGTCGGCCACACCTGGGGCTGCAAAGAGACACAGGCCCGAGACAGACGGGTAAAAAAGGCTTGTCATTTCTTTATACCTGACAGCAAACTAGGCCTCCTGAGGTCTCCCTTCCTGTGTCCTGCCGCCAGCCGCCCTCCACACCCAGACCCTGCGCCCACCTCGCTGTGGGGCCTGGCGCAAGTTGGACTGTTCAATTTCCTGCATCTCTGCCAGCAGGTCGTCCATCTTGAAGGTCTGGGGGGCACGGGACACCAGCGGGGCATTCTGGTCCTGCAGGAATTCGGCTACCAACTAGCAGAAGAGAAGGGGAAAGGAGCCCCCCTCGTAAGTGTCCAGAGGCCCCGACCGACCGACGGACATGGACCATCGGGACCCGTGGGAGACAGTAGAGCAAAGCCAGGAAAGGGAAAAGATACAGGTCCATTCACACACACACAAAAAAAACTACAGATGTGGAAGCTGAAACAGCAGACAAGTCATTTGGTCAACAAGAGTTCAAACACTGAAACATGGGTGCAAAACACAAGAAATCAAAACGGGGGTGTAGAAAAAAAAGCTAACTTTATGTACCTCATCTTCGGAGGCCACTCCCAAAGGCTTGGAAACCTAAGGCAGAAAGGACACACGTTGTGATTCGGTGATGGAGGCCACAGCCCACAAGGCAGTCAACGTGTTAGCTCTACCATTTATATGACCTTGGGCAAGTCCACAGCCTGCTGGGCCTCAGCTTCCCCATCTGGGAAATGGGCGTCTTTTATCCACCACCTGCACAGCACCCTCGTTAATAACAGGTAACCGCTACTGCACTACAGAGAGGGTAGCCATCCCTCAGGGAGCCAAGGGGCCCTCGGTCCACTCACCTCAGAGGAGGAGACGGGGGCTCCCGGGGGCCAGGGCCCAGGCCTCAGCCCCTCCTGCCGCAGGGCCTTGTCCTGCGTGAAGTGTCCCGCCAGCTTCATGAGCGGGTTGGCGCCCCCGCACTCGGCCTCCACCAGCTCCCGCATGGCCATGGTGACCGCCAGCTCCCTGGGGGAACAGCGAGCTCGCCTGAGCCGGCCCCTTGCCCGCCCCCATCTCAGCCAGGGGCGCAAGGGCCGCCCTCCACCCCTGAGCTGCTCCTCCCGTGCGGGTGCTCCGCTGTCAGAGCCACAGGTAACCTGCCCTCCAGCCGCTTGCCCCGGGATGTGGGGTCAGGAGGGCGGACTGGCCCAACAGCCGCCCCCCCACGATGGGGCCCGGACCCCAGCAGGGTACGGGGTAGCCTTCACCAGCCGGGCTTTAAACAGGACACAGCGGCCGGCCGAGGGAGCGTGAGGACGCCACCGCACCGCAAAGGCCCAGCCCTGCGCCCCTACACACCCGGGGGAAGGGGGCCATCCAGCGCCCGCCCGAAGTCACCTGAGCCCCTCCCCGGCCCTCCCAGCTCGCGCCCGGACGCGCGAGGCCACCCCGGGAGTCGGGGGCCACCGGGGCTCGTACCCGCTCGGGGCCCAGAGCTGCCCGCCGCTCGACCCGCCCGGGCACCTGGTGCGGGCCGAGGGGAAGGGGAGCGCAGGGGGCGGGGCGCCGGGGCGGGGCTCGGCCTTAAAGGGGCCGCGCTGCGGAAGCGCACTGAGGGGGCGTGGCCTGCGGCTGCGACGGCGTCACGTGACCGGAGGAGCGGCGCCGCGAGACTTTAAAGGGATAGAGCACCTTAAAGGGGAAACTTGAAGGATCGTGGATGCTGGGGTTTTGTTTTTGAGGGAATGCTCAAAGATGAAAACCAAGAGGCTTCCCCAGGCTTAGGGGACAAACCGACGGCGCGGAATTCAGGGCTGAGCTCACTCTGGCTCTTCTCTGGGGGCTCCCTTAGGGACCCCTTAGTCCTTCATGGCATCTGTACCCCTAGCTAAATTAGAGATGGCTGATCTTCCCAAACCCCAGTAAAAAAAATAATAAAGCCCCCAACACTAAGGGTCGTGGGAGTCCAATGTAGGACCTTCTTCGGACTGCCGATGCCTGGCCTCCTTCCAAATCGTCCCTCAGTGGGGCAGTGTCCCAGTCTCCAGGAGACCTGACCCCTATTCCTCTACGTAATGGGATAAATTGCACCGCAGTATGACAAATTCCGGAGACGAAAATAGGGTCCGACGCATCCCGAGCCTCGGCTGGTCCCGTGCAGGGAGGGGTGGTGAGTCACGGCTGTCCCTCCTCCTCCCCCATCACTGGTCAAGGTCACCCTGGTGCCATTCATTCCCACGGTTCCAGAAGGAAATGGGAACCTGAGCCGCAGGCTGCACCATCTGCCCGAGTTCAAAGCTCAAGGTTCCCGAGAAAACAGGCCCGGATCCGAGACCCAGGCGGCCCCGACGTCCTGAAGGAGGACCGCAGGGCTTCAGGGTTGCCAGGACGCCCTACAGGAGGACCGGAGGGTGCCTAGCCTTGGACGCCACCGGGCGGGCAGGTGGACACCAGGTGGCGCCCCGGGCCAGCCTTGCTCCCGGGCTGTCCTGCAGGTGTCAGGCAGGGAGTCCCGTAGCCGGTCAGAGCCGCTGGCGTGAGAGACGTGTGAGGGCCTCCCGCTTCTCACCGCCTGGCCCACGTAATGGAGATGATCCCGGCCCCCCTGCCACAGGCTGCCCTCCAGCCGAAGGAGCCTGAGAGCCTCTCAGCCGAGCCACACCAGGGAGAAAAGGTGCACGCTTGACAAGAGACCCCCGTTCCGCTCAGACGTCAGAGACCATCAGGCGAACCAGAGGGCATTGTGGAATGGTTACCGTTAGCCACAAGTGCCGAAACATACCTTCTGAGCACTGGGGCTTTCGGTATTCGCACCTCTACGAAGTAGGTCAACAATCCCACTTCACAAGGAAGTCTTGCCCCAAACAGCATCAATCAACTTGTAACTTCAGCTACCTGTCCCATTGTACAGCACTTTGCAATTCTTAGGGGAGGCTTATGTAGAAACTCTAGAGAGAGGTGTTTTTATGTATTTATTTTATTTTTATTGCAAAGTCAGATATACAGAGAGGAGGAGAGACAGAGGGGAAGATCTTCCATCCATTGATTCACTCCCCAAGCGGCCACGACAGCTGGAGCTGCAGAAATCCAAAGCCAGGAGCCAGGAGCTTCTTCCAGGTCTCCCACGCAGGTGCAGTGTCCCAAGGCTTTGGGCCGTCCTCGACTGCATTCCCAGGCCACAAGCAGGGAGCTGGATGGGTAGCAGGGCTGCTGGGATTAGAACCGGCAACCATATAGGATCCCAGGCATGTTCAAGGTAAGGACTTTAACCACTAGGCCACAGCACTGGGCCCAAAATAAATCTTTAGAAAGCAAAACAAAGAAATAAAAAACAGAAATATTTCCCATTTGCTAGTTCCCTTGCCGGACTGCCCAGCTGAAGCTAGGAAGTCAGAATGTCTCCCCCTGGGTCCATAGTTCAGGCTTGCGGGGAAAAGGTCTTCGGCTCATTCCGGGATTAATGTTTAATTTTCTGATGTTCTAGATTTGAAACCTTAGATGTTGTTCATCTGGCCCGTCTTCACACTCTTATTCATACAAGAAGTAGTTTTTAAGAAATAATAAAAAAAAAAATTTACTTGGTTTTCAGTTAACCTTTGATTGGTAAAAGTGGAGCAGGTTAAATTCTTCCAATTGTTAGACACTTATATGACAATTACTATGCGCCAAGCATTCCAAATGTCAGTTTTCTTTGGTCCTCATAAGTTGCAAATGTTGACATAGTTACTGTTTATAATAATAGTGAGTACTAATAATTTTGTCAGGCTTGAAAGCATAGATTAGGACTCTAGCCGAGACTAGGGCAAATGCTTTTGGTTTTGCAATCCAGTCACTATCCCCCACTGCTCTACTCTGCATTGTAGCGTGAAAGAAGCACGCATGGCTGTGCTCCAACATGTTGTGTCGGCTCTGGGATCTTAACTGATTTTCACATGTCACCAAATATGCCTCTCTAGATTTTTTTTTTTTTTCTGATCATTTAAAAGTGTCAGACTCTTTGTTAGCTTGAAGACTACGCCGAGACAAGCAGCAGGCCTGGCGTGCTAACTGCTGGCCTAGTCTGTCTCCTCGCGGAGTCCACACTTCAACAGTTCCCTGCATCTTCCCCGTTTTAAAAATGAACATCAAGTTTCGTAATGTTTTTTAAACTATGCAGCACTTAATAAGCACGTTTTAAAGCACCTTGATATCTGAGAGGGCAAACTGCTCTACTACTTTCTTATTAAATCTAGTAAGTTTTATCAGTCGAGTGTGTAAGTATGGATCAGATCCTGATCTGCCTTTTTGCTGAGGTGCCTGCGAAGGCAGAGGCAGCTGACCCAAGCACGTGGGCCCCGGCCACCTGTGTGGGAGATCAGCCTGCAATTCCTGGCTCCTGGCGTCAGCCTGGCCCAGAACTGGCTGCTGTGGCCATTCAGGAAGTGAACCAGCAGCTGGAAGAGTTCTTTCTGCCTCTCCTTCTCTCTCTCGTTAATGCTGCCTTTCGGGGCTGCTGTAGAACTCACAGAAATAATGGTAAATTCCCCCAAATTCAGAGAAAAAAAAGTTGAATCCACAGATTAAAGAAGCTGAGCAAATCACAAACAGGATCAACCAGAGAAATTCACAACAAGACACAGAATGATTAAGCTCCTGAGAACTAAAGACACAAGAAAAGTAACACGCTACAATTCAAATGACAGATTTCCCATCAGAAATCCAGGAGGCCAGAGGAAAGTGTCCTATTTTTTAGTTGCTAAAAAAAAAATAGCCATCAACTCAGAAACCTGTAGCATTGGGAGCCTTGGTATTTCTCTTGTTGATATTAAAAATTACCACAAATTTGATCACTTCAAACAATGTATCAGAAGAGGCATGAGGGTTTGTGCTCGCTGTTCTGACAGCTGACTCTTGGACTTCCAGCACTGTGAGAAGTAAACACTTGTTGTCCAGGGCTCCCAAGTACCCCATTACGTCAGCAGGACAAGGACACCCCGAACTCCTCCCCGCCAAGGCAGCACTCATGGAGAGCAGCCTGGCGGACTCTGCTGTCCTGCCCGCCAGGCCAGGCTCCCAGCTGGACTGCTTCACGGGTCACACAGCCAGGACCTCTTGGTGGGTCGGACTCACCCCAGGCGTGGTAGAGGACAACTACTGCACCCCACCTGGATCTCAGCAAACTGGACGCACCTAACAGGCTCCGTGTCTCTTGTCATGTTCATTACCCCGTCAAGGGCCTTCTTTTCAAGTCCTCTAATTAGAGGCCATCGGCCCATACACACCTACTTCCCCCTTTCATCCCAGTCCAGCCTGCTCCCTGGGGCTTCTTACTCTATGTGTTTAGCCTGTCTTTAAAGACCCCAGTGAACTCCTTCCTCCATCCTGATTTTCCTTCTACTGTCCACTGTTCCTATTCCAGAGGAAGACCAAATCCTACTGTAGGGTTTAAAAAAAAAAAACAGTTATTTTTATTGGAAAAGCCAATTTGCAGAGAGGAGAAAAAGAAAAATCTTCCATCTGCTGGTTCATTCCCGAAATAGTCACAATGGCCAGAACGGAGCTGATCTGAAGCCAGGAGCTTCTTCTGAGTCTCCCACGTGGGTGCAGGGTCTGGAGACTGAGCCATTCTCTGCTGTTTCCTCAGGCCGTCAGCAGGGAGCTGGATGGGAAGTGGGGCGGCCGGACACGAATGCAGGATGCTGGTGCCTGCGAAGGGAGGACTGCAGCCGAGCCTTCCCTGTGGGCTCATGTTTTAATTGTGTATCAACCAAAGGACTGTAAAGGCTACAGCTGCAGAGCCACCTGGAGCTGGTCGCAGGCCACTTCTCGGTGGATGTGGCTCCTGACCTGAGCCACAGGCCCTTCCGCTCTCTACCCCCTACCCCATCCCACACTACGGCTCTGCCAGGCGCGGTGTTTCTAGGCCTCCACACATTCCCGTGCACACATGCTCAGCAGAGAACGAGCTCCTGCTCCAGATTTGAGAGGGAAAATCTGGCTGAAAAAACACCAGAACTAAAGTATCCCGTCCGCCTTTTTGCTTCAGGTCTGAGATTCTGCTGATGTTTACACAAAGACCAGAAGACCTTCTGTTTGTGAACTTAGTGCCTTATCTACCACACCAGCTCACCTTTGCTCTGCAGGTCACGGGCAGCCGGAGCTAGCACCTGCAAGCCTGTAAGATCTTGCTTAAAGCTCTCAGCTATTAACATACATTTATAATATATATACCCTACATCTGTGTGGGTCACATTGGTAATGAAAAATCGTCATTCTCTGTGGATGATAGCTACCAAGTGTCTGTAAGCCACCACGGTAAGAAGAGCCAAAGTGCCGATGTTGTGGCACAGCTAGTTAAGCTGTTACCTGCAGTGCCAATCCCATATCAGCACCAGTTCCAGTCCCAGCTGCTCTTGCTTCCAGGCCAGTTCCCTGATAATGCACCTGGGAAAGCAGAGGAGGATGAGCCAACTACTTGGTCTCCTGTACCCATGTGGGAGATCCAAATGGGGTCCCAGACTCCTGGCTTCTACCTGGAGCAGCTCAATTATTATGACTATTGTGACCATTTGGAGAGAACCAGTGGAGAATTCTTTCTCTTTCTGTGTGTGTGTCTGTAGTGTGTCGCTCTTTTTAGAACTCTGCCTTTCAAATAAATAAACCTTTCCAAAACAAACCAACCAACCTAGATACAGCTGACTCCAAAGCAGGTGTTCAAAAATCACAACTCCACACTGCCAGAGCTTTGGATGAGAAGAACTTCAGGAGTCTGGCCACCTACAATACTTCATGCTCTTAAAGACCCCATTGGGGCCGCCTGTGACATGTGCAACCCCAGTGGGTGCCGGTTCGTGTCCCAGCTGCTCCACTTCCAACCCAGCTCCCTGCTGATGTGCCTGAGAAAAGCGATAGACGATGGTGTGCACGGGAACCTAAGGGAAGCATACTCCTCAGCTCACCCGTGACACGCTCCCAGGAGGCACCCCACGATCTGTGTGGGTGGGGTTTTTGTTTGTTTGTTTTTTAGATTTATTTATTTGAAAGGCAGAGTTACAGAAAGAAACAGAAAGCCAAAGAGAGAGATCAATAGAAAGATCTCCCATCAGCTCATTCACTCCCCAGATGGCCACAGTGGCCAGAAGTGGAGATTGAAGCTGTGGGCGGGTGTGGGGAGGGGGCCGGTGGGGCAAGGGCGCCTGGTAGAGCATCACGACCAGCTCATGTTGGAACCATGGGAATAAGGATGGCAGGGGGAGAGGGGCAGCATGGATACAGCCTGCATCCCTCTACAGAAAGGATCCAAGGGGCACCGGAGGCCAGGAGAGGTGTCGGGGGAGGCTAATGCACCTTCTGCACCTGCCAGCGCTGAGGGTAGCGGGGAACTCAGGACTAAGCAAGCCCAGGACACTGGCATCCCACAGTGGGGTGCCTCTGCACAGTCCCCAGACTGGCAGGCAGCAGGTGACAGTTCAAGTCCTAGGTCCCTGTCTCCCACGTCAGAGGTCCAGAGTTCCCGACTCCCAGCTTCCACCTGACCCAGCCCCAACTACTGCAGCGATTTAGGGAGTGAGCCAGCAGATTGTTGCGCTTTCTCTCCATCTCCCTGTCTCTCTGCCTTCCAAATAAAATGAAAGAAGGAAATGACTTTGACAGTTTCTGGGGAGGGATGTCCCCTTGGCAGACAGCTCAAGTTCTGAAAAACAAGCCCTTCTTCTTCCTGTGCTATGACCCTCCAGGGAAGAAGGGTGCCCAGGACCAGAGGACCAGAGCTGAAAAGCTGCAGGGAGTTGGCCTGTTCCGTGGCCTGGATGCTGTGAAAGCGCCCAGAGGGTGCCATCTGTCAGCAGTCACATCAGGGCAGCTGCACGTGGTGAAGTCAAGGTCCCCAGGCCAGAGTGCCACGGAGCCATCCCAGGGCCTCTGTTTCACACAGGATGGCCACCCACCATCTCCCGGTAGACTCTGGGAGCCCGTGTCTCTCGTGTGGAATGTTCCAGGTTAGACGTGTGGGGCTGGCTGCCATTCCCACAAAGCACTGGCCACCTGCCCAGGCATCTGGGACACTCCCTGAATTGTCCGTATTTTCAAGGGCTCACAAGGGAAGAAGGCAGTGAGAGGAAAGCCAGCTGTCCCCAGGTAACTTTGAGGGCTGATGGTCAGGAGGTTTGCCTGGTTAGGCACGAGAGATAACCATCCTTGTCCCCTCCCCTCAGCCCTGCTCCAAAGCCAGAATGACCCCTGCCATCAGCAGCAACAGGCAGTTCAGGGAGATTTTCATTTTCTTCTTGTTGTTTTATTTGAAAACCCTAGGGTGTGTCCCTTCCCCCACACACCCATCCCCTTCCCCCACCCCAGGACATGACAATGCCACGCGCACACACATACACACACACAAGGTTGTGAGCTGCACTCGGGAACACAGGGGCTGCGCTCACGACAACATTGAAAAAATATACATTATATATACTAGCCCCCCAGAGCCCTCTCCCCTGCCACCCCCACAGCCCAGCCATGGCCAGGCCATGCAAGGGACGGGACACACGGGCTCCGGACTGCCAGGGCAGGAAAGGAGAAGGGATCAAAAAGGAAGGCAAATGGGAAATGAGAGAAGCAGGGACCCTCCCCCCCAGACTGAAATGGAAGGGGAGGTAAGAGGATCCAGAACTGGGCCAGGTCCAGCTGAGGGAACCTGGGGCAGGGACAGCAGGGACAGCAGGGATGAGCAAAGGGGACACAGAGGGAAACTGCGCCCACCCACCCTGGCCTCAGCCACCATGTCTGCTGATGCCCCCGAGACTGGGCATGGCAGAGCCAAGGTAGGGCCAGAAACAGGGGTGGGCTAAGGAGACAGCTGCCATGGGCAAGCAGGTGACAGCCCGCCCAGGCGGCCACAGGGGGAAGGGAGCTCAGAGGCGAGGCAGGGTGGAAGGTCAGGAGTGGGCGGTGCAGGGCAGACAGCAGCTGGGGCTCTCCCGGAGTCTGAGATGTGAGAGCGGCAGGATCCACGCGGCTCCAGCCCTCTCGGCCCCTCCGCTCGGCCCCACTCCCTCCGGCCAGGGAGGTCTGCTGCCCCAGGGCAGAGTCCTCTCTCTGGCTGGGGCTGGGCCTCAGTAGCGGTGTGGGGGGCTCTCTATGATGCGTCTCTCGTCGCTGCTGGGAGAGTCGGCCACCTCCGAGTCACTGCTGTCCTCATCCTCCTGCTGCCCGCCGGGAGCCCCCGCCACACAGGCCTGCCGCTTCTGGTAGGACTGCATGGGAGCAGGGCCAGAGAGGCTGTGCATCACTGCCCTGCCCACACCCTGCCCCATGGCTTCTCCTTCAGGGCCACCTCCACGCCCACCCCCAGCCCCTGAAAATTCCTCCCTCAATCTCCTGCTCCTGCTGAGCTCTCTTCTCCCAGCTCCCCAGGGCTCTACTCCGACCCTGGCCTTGTAGACAGCTGGGACTGTGCCTGTCCCAGACATGCTGAACTCTGCAGTGTGCCCCGTGGGGTGCTCACCTCCATGGGGTTCACGATGATGGTGAGGGCCGAGTCATCCCAGAAGAGGTCGGGGTCCTTGGGGTCACTGGAGGTCCCCGGGGGCCCAGCAGCCCCGGATACACGGCGATGCAGGGAGTGGATGCGGACCAGGCCCAGTATAACCATAAGCACCAAGAAGCCCACGCACACCACAATGATGAGGGTCGCGGCGCTCGGGACCACTGTGGGGAGAGAGAGGTCATGGGGCTGGAGGCAGGGAACGGGGGACAAAGGTGCCTAGGTGTCCCCAGGGTCGCTGCCGTGAGCAGCCCTAATCTCAGCCAACAGAGGACAAGACTGAATGTGTCACATCCAGGGCTATTGCACCTGCACCTCTCCCAGGGACCGCTCGGCAGGGGATAGGGGCACACAGCATCCGGAGAGGGAAAGAGAAGGGCAGTGCAGGGGAGGATCTGGCTGGGGCAGGCTCGAGGGCAGGGAGTAGCCCTTTTACTTACCACCTGTCCTGGGCTGCCTCCTCCGCCGCCGCCTGGGCATCTGCGGCTCCTGCTGAGTTTCCCCCATGTCGTCCCACCCCGGGGCCCTCCCAGGCCTCCAGCCCGGCAGCCTCCATCTGAGGCCCAGGTTCAGGGGGACAGAGACCCTGAAGGGCCATGGCAAACGGTCGGGCTTGCGCACTCTCACGCGGACCTCCGAGCTGACGGTGGCAAAGCAGATGTGCAGGCACAGACACGTGCCCAGGAAGAGCACACGGGCGCACAGCTGGACACAGGTGGCCACACCCCACACCCGAGCCAGGCCTCTGCCAGCCCACACAGCCACCCGCACCAGGCACCGGGCAGCCTGCTCACACGGCGGGAGGAAAGGAGGGTGCCTGAGGGTCTCCAGTAAGGCACAGAGCAGCCTGGCGTTCAGGCTCACCCAGCTCCCCCCGACCTGGGCAGCCCAGGCAAAGCTCTGAAGGACGATATAAACAGTACAGACATGAGCGGTGAGAGCCACAGAGCTGGCAGCCGTGAGCCCAGCCCTGCACCCAACCTGCGCATACACACGCAGCACTCGGAGAGGCCCCAGGAGGCACAGCGAGAGAGCCCACAGCCCCAGGGACAGCAGGTAATCCCACAAAAGCACGCCCAGGCCCAGGGCCCTGGCAGGCAGCCGGCTCACTACACCCCACATGAGCCAAGCCCTACTCACCACTGGGCAGTGCTGTTACTGGGGCGCTAATCCATGTGTATGCGCCCCTCACATACACTTAGCAGTCACACGCACACACACACACACCCATCGCAGGCCAGCCTGAGACACGCACGCTACAAGACATGGCAGAAAGGAGAGAAGCAGACAGCACGGTGCCCCCGCCCCCAAAACAAAACCCTGCTAAAGGCCCCCTTCTCACCAGCAGCCGGCACACTCACACTGCCACCCGTTCCACAGCCAGTCGACCAGGTGTGCAAAAAGCACCCTGCCCCGCAAGCCTGCCAGCCACACAGACTCCCTGAAGCCGCCCTAGGATGGCTCTCTGCCCACTCGGTCTCCATCCTAACCCGACCCCTGGCCCACTTGGGGTCATTGGCCAATCAGAGCTGACTGTGTGGGAGCAGGTCGGGGAGGCTCCCCAGGCACCAACCGAGCTCAGCTTGGCCAGCGTCTCTCAACTGCCCAGGGATACAGGCGGCTGGGAGGATTCCGAGCTCTCTTCTGCCCATCTGCAGGAAAAGTCCCTTTCCGGTCTCTGTGGCCATGGTAAGGGCCAGGAGGGTGACCGTGCCAGTGCCTGGTCCCTGTGGCCAAGCCTAGGTTCTGGAAGGATCAACTCCACCCCGTAGCATGAAGATCACCACAAGGTGAACCTGCTCTCTGCACACAGCCACAAGGAGCCACACAGTCTCCAGTTGGTGCCTTAATGAAATGCATCTGTCCCTGTGAGCCCCTGGCCCAGTGAGGAAAATGACAGATTGAAACAGCCGCAAGAAGGCACACAGCACCTGCCGACTAAGTACAGACGTGGCGAATAAAGCCAGGGGAGAGCTGGGAAGGTTTCCGAATTGGCTCCGTATAAAAACCACCTAGAGGCGAAGAGGTACAGCCAGCTGTCTGGGTTAGGCTTGGCAGTCAACGCTGGCCTTGAGAGTCTTCCGCAGCCAGAGTGAAGCGGGATTGTAGCACGGGAGGCGCTAAGGTTACTGTCACAAGAGCCTCCTTCAGGTCTTCCACATGAGTGCAGGGTGCCAAAGCTTTTGACCGTCCTTGACCGCATTCCCAGGCCATAGCAAGGAGCCAGATGGGAAGCAGGGCCACCAGGACTAGAACTGGTGCCTACATGGGATCCTGGCACATTCAAGGTTAGGACTTTAGCCACTAGGCTACCGTGCCGGGCCCTACCTTACAGCATTCTAAGAACTGCCCCTCAACCCACCCCGGCTTCCACTTTTATCTTCCTTTTTTGTTTGTTTTCTTCCATTTTCTCTTCCACCTAACTTCCTAATTTCCTTTTTCCAATGCTGTTGCTTTGTGGTCTTTCTGCAAAGCTGCAGATAATTGCAGGAAACAACATCAGAAAATGCTGGTGCATCCAGAGATCACACAGCGATGCCTGGCTGCCACCCCAGACGCGCTGGTTCCATTGCTGTAGGTGTCACTTAGACACCAAGCGTTTACGACGGCTTCCCAGGTGACTCTGCCTATACCAACATTTGGGATGACGGGGTAAATAATGTGTTCACCAACTTGTCTCCCCCTTCTCAGTCTTACTCTCCCTAACATAAACACCGGCAGGCACCCACTCACCCTCTCTCTCCGACTCAGGGTGGGTGTTGTGAAGCAGCACAGAAGGCTGTCACCTGCAGAGCCAGCACCCCGCGTGTGCACCAGCTCCAGATGCAGCTGCCCCACTTCCCATCCAGCTCCCTGCCCAATGCACTTGGGAAAGCAGCAGCAGATGGCCCAAGTGCTTGGGACCCTGCACCCATGTGGGAGACCCAGAAGAAGCTCCAGACTCCCGGCTTCGGTGCGGCACAACTCCAACTTTTGTGACAATTAGGGAGGCACACCGGCAGATGCCAGACCTGGCTCTGTCTGCCTGTGTCTCTTCCTTTCTCTGTGTTAACTCTGGCTTTCAAATAAAATATCTAAAAACATTTTTTCTAAAGTCTAACTCCCTGTCACAGCCATCCCAACCCCTTCCCGTCACAGCAGTCTCTGGTCTCTGCAGGGCAGTGAGCCGGAGACCTCCAGGAGGACACGCTTCTCTGCCTGCTTCTGTGGGCTCTGAGCCGTGTGGCCTTGTGAAATCTCATCCTGCAACTCAGCTCTGAGTCAGGAGGTCAAGGGCAAGAGCACCTCAAGCAGTCAAGAAAGGAGTCCGACTTTCACCAAGTGGAACACCTGTTGGGCTCAGGTGAAGTTCATCGCCAACGCCCTGGCTGGGGCCATGGTTCAGGGGGCGGGGCTTCCCCATGGGGAGGTGGAGCCAGGCGGCCGCTCTGGGCAAGGTGGGTGAGTGCTGGGCAGCACTGCCCGCGAAGGCGCTGGATGCGGAGGGGTGGCGGGAGCGCTGAGACAACTGGAACAAGGACCTCAAACCAGAGACAAGGACTAAGGAGGCCCAGCAGCACCTAGATCTGCTAGGAGGAGCACCTGACAGGACACAGCATCCGACCCAGGAGAGGCTAAGCGGGAATGACTGCCAGGGAGAGGAAGGGAGAAAAGAGCTCAGGACTCAGGAGGAAGAGGAAGAGGAGGCAAAGGAAGGAGAGGAGAAAGGGGGGAGGGGAAAGGAGGGAGGGAAGGAGGAGGAAAGGAGGGAGGGAGAGGAGGGGGCAGGGGAATCAAGGAGGAGGGGAAGGAGAGGGAGGGGAGGTGGAAGAGGGGGTGGGTAAAGTAAAAAGAGAAAAAAAGAAGTCACCTCCAAACGTAAATTTAACAACAACAAACAAAACAGGCTCGGGCGGCTTTGGAACACCATACTCCCTGTCCTGGGTTGAGTTCCAGCAACTGCACTTCTGATGTAGCTCCCTGCTCACGCCCACCCTAGGAGGCAGCAGTGATGGTTCAAGGACGTGGGTCCCTACCACCCAAACCTGTACATCTGCCTTTCTAATAAAATAAATCTTAAAAAAAAAAAAAAGATTTACAGAGAGGAGGAGAGACAGAGACCGACAGAAATCTTCCATCTGCTAGTTCTCTCTCCAAATGGCCACAGCAGCTGGAGCCAGACCAATCTGAAGCCAGGAGCTCTTTCTAGGTCTCCCATGCAGGTGCAGGGTCCCCAGCACTTGGGCCGTCCTCTGCTGCTTTCCCAAGCCACAGACAGTGGGGCAGGATGGGAAGTGGAGCGGCCAGGACATGAACAGATGCCCATGTGGAACGGCAGTTTTTGCAGGTGGAAGATTAACCTACTACACCACAGCACCTGCTCCAACTCATGCATCTTTAAACCCTTGGCCGCCTGACTGCGTCTTACACTCCTTTCTCGCCCCTATTGCCATCTACTCCCCTGTGGTGGCTCACAGCGGAATACCTTAAAAGGCTACTGCAGGGCCCAGTACTGTGGCCTAGTGGCTAAAGTCCTTGCCTTGCATGTACCAGGATCCCATATGGACACTGGTTCTAATCCCGACAGCCCCGCTTCCCATCCAGCTCCCTGCCTGTGGCCCGGGAAAGTAGTCAAAGAAGACCCAAAGCCTTGGGAGCCTGCACCTGCCTGGAAGACCCGGAAGAGCTCTTGGCTCCTGGCTTCGGATCGGCACAGCACCAGTTGTTGCAATCACTTGGAGAATGAATCAACAGACGGAAGATATTTCTCTCTGTCTCTCCTCTTCTCTGTATATCTGACTTTGCAATAAAAATAAATCTTAAAAAAAAAAAAAAAAAAAGGCTGCTGCGCTTGTGTTTAGAGAAAGCAAGGATGAGGGGAGTTGGGCCCAGGGAAGAGGACACACAGATGGGGCAGGCAGTGACGTGAGCCTGGGATTTCTGCCAGAGCAACTCCAGTGTGGTGAGGCTAATTTAAAAACAAGAGAGCGTCCAACCCAGGGGTCACAGAGGACCAGGGTAAGGGCACGGGATCTGGCATCACACTGCCCGGATCTGCATCCTGGTTCCAGCCCTTCCTAGCTGTGCTCCTGAACCCATACGCCTCCATGCCACGTCTCGTGGGTAAGCACCAAGCAAGCTAAGGCCTGCAGAGCCTGGGGTGGCACAGCCCGGTGCCCAGCTTGGGAGAACTGCCATTGGTCTGGATGACCAGCCCGGGGGTGGACACTGGGGCAATGCTCCCACAGTATGGACCCTAAACGTCTTCCAGAAAAGTACTCACAGAACCCCACAGGGATCTAGGCATGGTTTTGGTCTTTTCCAATGATGACCAATGTCCAGGTTTTGAGATCAGGCTCAGCGTTTTTAAATTGCAAATGATCTCTGCAGCCAAGTCTAACGAAAGTGGGTGAGGAAGCTGGGTGACACTGACCTGAGCCAACAGCCAGGTGTGGCGAGAAAGTCTCAAAAACAAATGCCTCCTCAGTTGGCTTCAAGAACAATTTAAAAACCATTCCTCCAAGAATCACTCCCGGCACTATCAGCATCACCTTTACGGTATTTTTTTTAATAATGTGGAGGACTCATTTTATGATATCAAGTGTAACTAACAGGCTACAAGACAGTATGAGCTCAACTTTATAAAAAAAGAAAAAAATAGGCATAGAAAAATGATAGGAACTTACGAACTTATGCCAAATTAACCAAGCTCTGCCGAAGGACTATGGCTGGATTTCCTTCCTAATACTTGCAAGGTTCTACTTTTGCTACAATTCAGCAACTCAGATTAGAAAAAAAACAAAAGTTGCAGAGCTGGCAATGCATTGCAACAGCTTAAGCCACCAGCTACGATGCTAGCATTCTGTATTGGAGCAAAGGTTCAAGTCCCAGCTCCTCCCCCTTCCAACCCAGCTCCCTGTTCAGGCACCTGGGAAAACAGCAGATGTCCGAGTATTTGGAACACCCAGATGAAATTCCAGGCTCCTGGCTTCAACCTGACCCCGCTTCAGCCATAGCAGTTATTTGGGGAGTAGACCAGCAGATGAAAATTCTCTTCTGTCTCTCCCTCCCCCCCGTCACTCTTAGATTTTTTTTTTTTAATTTAAAAGACAAAGGAATAAATAAAATTGCAAACCTAATCAATGACCCTGGCTAGGGAACAAGGCTGCCCCAAAGCACAGCACTGGTCCTAGATGGAATCCTTTACATGTTTTGTTACAGGAACATCCACCACACATGATGGCACACATCATCCTGACACAGGATAAGCTGAGCTGGAGCTTACAAACCATGTCATTCTGTCCTGTCTGCTTGTCAGAACAACTCCGTTCCCAACACGCTCTGTTTTCATCCAAGACTTGGGGAAGGGTGCCCACGTGCACAGGTGTATGAAGCTTCGTGCGGAAGTGTATGAGGTGTCACAACCTCCCAGGTGACTGCCCCACCTCGCAGAAGCAGGTGCTCAGAAACAAGGCCAGGAAGGTACTGAGGGCGCCCCCTCTCTGCTTCCCTTCCTCCACATCCCTCTCCACTCCAACTATGCCCATGTGTGTTTTCTGAGCATCTGAGGATCAACTTTATCATGTTGTGCACCGTATATATGCCTGTGCTTACAATGCATTTTAAGTAAAAGGCAAGGACCTGGATTAAAATGAAACCCCGCTGTTGCCAAACCTGTCCTTGAGAATGGAGCGGATCTACCCCAGAAGTCTTTACATCCCAAGCAGCATCCTGGGGCAATGCTAACTCACAGCAGGTGCTTAACACATGCTCAGTAACATCAGGACAGAGGAGCCCACATCCAGGGCAGATGTGAAGTTGTCGGGGGAGGGAAGATCAGGCATTACAAAGACAGCTGAACCCCACACAGCCTTGGTGAGCCCAGTGTCCCTGGAAGGGATGAAGACAGGGATCCACAGCTGTCAACTAAGGCAGGTCTCCACTGCACCCAGCCCCCTCACTGTCGCCACCTTCCCTCCTTCACAGGCCCACTCAGCCGTACTTACTGGAGTTCCGGTGGGAGCTGGCCAGGCTGTGTCCAGCCATCTCAGGGGGAGGCTGGTGACCACGGTGCAGGAACTGCTGGGAGCTGAGCACGTGGCTGGGGTGGGCCACCCGATTCATGCTATGCAGGACGTTGACCTGGGCAGAGGGAGTGCTCCATGGACACACGCACCTTCCCCAGCTCCCCCAGCTTTCCTCCTCCCAGGGCCAGGTCTTGGGGGTCCCGTGCAGCAGCATCTATTCCCACCAGTTACTAGGTTGAGTATCTTGGCCTCTGGCCAAAGACGGGTCACCATGGAAGGAAACAGAGTGGTACCTCTACGATGAACTCATTGCTGGAGTAGCGGCCATTCATTTCGGAGCAGGAAAGCCGGAACTTCCTGGCGTAGAGGGCAGCTCCGTGCCGCAGCCGGTAGCGGACCTGCCTCAGGACCTCTTCATATACAGTGATGCTCTCCACCCCTGGCGAAGGCGAGGCACCTCAGCACAGGATCCGCCCCCGGGCCCCTCCAGCAGACCAGGCCATACAGTGGGGTAGTCGGCCCCTGCCCTGAACAGGGCTGGAAGCGGAGCTGCCTCCACAGCCCAGCCAAGCTTTGAGACAGGCTTAGAGGGATATTGTTCTGCTTGCTTAACCATGTAGACAGAACACACACACACACACACACAAGAAGAAAGGCCCTCGGGCCCCACCAACCAGCAATGGTGAGGTAGGCAGACGTGTTGGTGAGCTCCAGCCTGCGCTGCTGCAAGGATGCCACGTCCAAGAGCAGGCTTTCCCGCTCGGGGTCCAAGTCATCCCCCACCAGGGACACTTCACAGCCGTCCAGGTTGTGCACGATCTCATCTGACATTCGAGTGTCCGTTACTGGGGTTGGCAAAGAGGCAGGGTCTTGGTCAGAGTTGTATCCACCAAAACCCACCCATCACCTCCCCTCCTAGAGTCACCCCTTAAGGGAAGTTGGCAGCACTTTCAAGCACATCGTTGCACAACTGTTTCCTTTGGCCCAGGGACCCCCCGACTGGCTCCACTGCTCAAGGGTAGCTGGCACCGGTCCTGCACCTACAGCGGGAGGTCACTCCAGCTTTCCATCCTCACCCTCCTGTCAAGCTATGCCCCCTTCTCTGGGTGGTGTCATTCCCTAGAGTCACCCTCACTCATCCTCACCTGTGCCCTGCCAGCTCTCATCCTTCTTGGCCTCCACCTGATGAGAAATGGAGCAGGTGATCTGCAGATCGGGGAACAAAGGCACCCCCTCGGGCCCCTCAAAGTCCACAGCCGGACGGGCAAAGTGAGCAGTGCCACTCAGCAGGATCTGGGGGGCATCGGGTTGGAGGACCACCACATAGCCCTCCACTTCGGGGATGGAGACACAAGACTCCTCACTGAAGCACCTAGAAGGGAAAGGAGACAGAGGCAAACCGTGACTCAGTGCGCCCTCCCTTCAGCCCACGTCGTGTTTCATCCCCAGGGTCCTCTACTTCCACAGCCCATCACCCCCTGGAAGGGAAAGGAAGATGGGCAGGGCCTCTGTACCTCCAGGTAAGAGGCTGTCACTGCAGGGACATGTCAGGGACAGAAAATCAAGCTGCAGGGAGTCCCATCACAATGCCACACCTGGACTACGGAACGTGTATTAGATTCTGTTTTCCTAAGAAATGACTCCAAATGAATGGATAAAAGCAAATATATGCACCCAGCCATTTAGGCAGAAGGTAAAATAAACATGATTATCCTGGGCCTAACACAATCATACCCTAGCAACTGAAGTCCTCGCCTTGCATGCACCTGGATCCCATATGGACACTGATTCTAATCCCGGCAGCCCCGCTTCCCACCCAGCTCCCTGCTTGTGGCCTGGGAAAGCAGTCGAGAACAGCCCAAAGCCTTGGGACCCTGTTCCTATGTGGGAGACCCAGAAGAGCTCCTGGCTCCTGGCTTCAGATTGGCTCACTCTGGCTATTGTGGCCGCTTGGGGAATGAATCAACAGATGGAAGATATTTCTCTCTGTCTCTCCTCCTCTCTGTATATCTGACTTTCCAATAAAAAAGATTTTAAAAATAAATCTTAAAAAAAAAAAACACATGACTACCCTATCTGGCTGACACAGTCCCTGCAATGCGCACCAAGAAAACCAGGTGAGGTCAGAAAGCTCTCAAAGATATCCTTCCTCTCCCTGGTGTGTCTTCAGTCCCCTTCCATATCACACACACACATTCAGGTAGTTGAGATCATCCGATCAGCTTGGACCCAGACCCGCTGTCCCAAGTGAGCTGACTGACATGGTGCTGGGACAAGCTACACCCAGAGGACACGACTGGCCAAGCCCATCATCAGCACGGACACTCAGGACCTAAACTTGTAGGATTACTCCTGCTCCCGGCCTTGCCCATAACCTCACCATCACACGGCACTTGCTGGTGGGAAGCATTCTGGCCATTGCAACTTTATACCAAGGTCATAGAGTAGGAAGAAGAATCAGACAAGGAATACACATCACAGTATTCGGACCATTCTCATTGCAAGTCTAAAGACCATTCCCCTGAACCACAACCACCACTGGAAGACTGACTCGCATCCAAGAAATCTATTTATACAGCTTGAATGTGTCCCCCAGAAAGCATGTGTTGCAAATCTATGTCTCAATGCAGCAGTGTGCGAGGTGACGTCATGGGGCTCCACCTTCAGGAATATAATACAGCAATGCTAACAACAGGCATGGGGCCGGGAGTCTGGACTCCACTCTCACAAGATGAAGCAGGAAGAAGGGCCCTCGCTGAACACTGGTCCCTCAGTCACAGCCTTCGCAGTCTCCAGAGACATAAGAAATAAACCTCTTGGCTTGGGGACTAGGCCGCAGCAGCACAACGCACACAGCACACAACACTGGCACCAGAGCATCAGGGATGCTGTTGGCGGAAGCAGCTCTGCCACTGCTGCGGGGAGAGGCTGCGGCAGGTGGAAGTGAAGGCTGACAAGGGCCCCCCGCACTGCCTTGGGCTCAGCATTGAGGGTCCTGCTGGAGGGGCTTCAGAAGAGAAGTCTCGGGAAGGCGCCGAACTCCAATCCCACCAAGTGATCAGCATCAGAACATTAGTAGAAACACAAATGGTTGGGATAGATGTTGTGGCACAGCAAATTAAACTGCTACCTGCAAAGCTGGCATGCCATAGGAGCATTAGCAAAAGTCCCAGCTGCTTCATCTCCAACCCGCTCCATGCTTATGTACCTGAGAAAGCAACAGAAGGTAACCCATGGCCTCGAGCCCCTGCACCCCGTGTGGAAGTCCCACATGGAGTTACTGACTCCTGGCTTAAGCTGGAACCATTCCCAGCTATTGTAGTCATTGAGGGAATGAACCAGCAGATGGAAGACCTCTGTCTCCCATTTTGATCTCCTCCCACCTATTGACTCAGCCTTTCAAATAAATAAAATTCTTTTTAAAAGAGAGACAGACATATGGTAAAAGCCAGTCTGATGAGGTTACACATAAAAAATGAGCAGCATCTTATTGGAACTCGGAGGTAAAGTCAGCCTTGTTATAAATAGTAAAAGAACTTGGCTGAATCATGTCCATGCCCAAAGGTTTTGTGGCAGAAAGACATTAAGAGAAATGAACTAGATTTTCTGGCAGAAGAAATTCCTAAGCAAAATGTCAAAGAAACTAAATGGTTGCTAGTCTCCTAGGACAGAATGAAAGAAAAATTGATTTAAGGATAAAATTTGTAATGAAGAGGAAAGTAGAACTTAGCATTTTAAAGGATCTGGGAAAAAAAAAAAGGAAAGGAAAAAACTTGCAAGAGTGTGGCCAAGCAGGCTTTGCTGGAGATGGCAAGGACACCAGCCATGGCTAGAAGGCAGGCGGGTGCTAATGTATTCATAGAGACATGGGGGAATGCCTGAAGACATCCAGAGCGCTGTGAGGAGCCCCAAGACCAGCCCAAGACACCCAGGGAAATTCGTCTTCCCAGCTGGCCTGCCTCAGGTGTCTCTGCCTTCCAGGCAGCACCCCTTGGCCGTGACTCAAACGAGCCCAGGTGTGGCCTGGGCCACTGTGCCAAAGGGCACACGCCAATTCTTGATTGTGTGTGTAATGCTGATTCTGCAGGTGTACATGTAAGAGCTTAAGAGCTGGGGGAGGTTGGCTTCTTCCTGCACCTGCATGTCACAGGATTTCCAAGACAGTCTGGGCCCCCGCGGGGAAGAAACACCACAGAGTCACCCTCAAGAGCCCCCACCAGGACAACGCTGAGTGCAATTACGGGTCCCGGGCCACCAGCTCCCACAAGGGCAATGCCTAGGAAAGCTGCAGGGTCAAGGGATGACATGCCAACCTGGAATGGCTTCTACACAGGCAGAACCCAGCAAACCCTGGACGGGGGCTGTCCCAGTGTGTGCGCGGGAGGGACACAGAGTCAAAGGTTATTTCTGGAGTTGCACAATTTGATATTTGTCCTGTTGCTTTGGGATTTACTTGAGGACCAATCATCCCTTCTTTATTTCTTTCTTCTTGCTCACTTTTAGAATGGGAATGTCTCCCCTACGCAAGCTCCACCACTGTGTGGTAGAAATTATTCGACCTCATAGGTTCATCCCCCAGAGGCAGATTTGAGGACACGTTGTCCTAGGAGTCTCATTCACACATGATTTAAATGAAACTCTGGAACTGTGACTCCTCAGGTGGGATTTCTGGAATGAAACAAATGAAGAACATGAGTTGGGGGGATCAGGAGTGGAATTCGATATAGTTTATGTATTTTTGAAATTCTATAGTTAAATGTATCCCCAAAAAAGCTTGTGTTGGAGACACAAATTCCCAGCATAACAGTGTTGGCAGATGCGGCTCTATGGAAGATGTTGTGGCCATGCCTGTTCATCTTCATGAACGGATCATGCTAATCGTTAAAAGGACTTGAGGTTAGAGGTTCAATCTTTTGTCTCTTTCACCTTCTCCCCTACACCTGCTCCCTGACCTTCTGCCATGCAGAAAAAAGGGCCACTGCCAGAGGCCAGCCCCTTGATCTTGAACTTCCCAGCTCCAGAACCACAAAAACCACATCTCTATTCTTTACTAAGTATGCGGTCTCTGGAATTTGGTATTTGGTCACAGCAGTACAAAAGAGACATGGCCAGCCCTGAACAAGCTGTCTTCCCAGAAGTCAGTCATTCGGGAGGACAGCCTCTGGCTCACACGATTGTACTAACTGAAATGATTTTGCTTAGAGAACCATAATTACTAGTGTGACTGCTGAGACCAAAAAGAGATGGTGTAAGTTTGGCAAAGCCTGAAAAAGCTCCTCAAGTTCCCAATGCCAGGACCTGTCCTGCTAGGAGTGTGCTCTGTTGCTATGCCATGGCCAAGAGCAGACCACAGGCATCTTCTTCATCAGGGAAGCATGAGGAAATCTCATTACTCACCTAGCCTCAGGGAAAGGTAAAGTTAGAAGATTAGCACCAGGCCAACTACTTGGGAGACTAAGTCGTTCTCGATTAGGTAACAGGTGCTCAGCGGCTGGGCTGGAGAGGTCAAAGAGAGAAGACAGACCCCGACCTCCCCAGCACAGGATCTGGGTCATGTGGCAACCAATGGGGCCTGGAGGTACGGAGGCAGGAAGTGAACATGACTCCAAGGTTTTGAGCCCAGGTAACCACAAAGACAGGGATGCAGGACAAAGGATTTGGGGCTGGGCCAGTACGGGCACTGGCTCTTTAGCCCTGTTTCAGCATACGCTCTTTTGATGAAAGCGCCAACAGAGGTTACCACAAGCAGAGGTAAATTCAAGAGCCACGGAAAGAACAAAGGATAAAGCTAGCGCAAAATATGTGGTGGCCATGAACTCAGAGGCAAATGCCATGAGATATTGCCCAAAAAATTACATAGTGAAAATCCAAATTTTATACATTGACTGGAGAATGGCATAAATGTGGCTTTCAATGGAATACCATCAACCTCATGGTAGCCCTAGAAATAGAGAAAGGAGAACTCTTTCTTCACTTCATAAATAAAACATTAAGGCCCCTTCCCTTGACTCAAGGAACAAAGTCAGGGATGAACCTCCAACCAAGGGCATGAAAGAGAAGGAACTGGAATGAGCCCGTGAGTGACCAACACAGCCCTTCTCCCTCTGGGAGAACTCCCCTTCTAGCACTGTATTCGAGGCACAGAATAAACACATAACTAACCAGAGCCTGGACACACTGAAAGGGGACAGGCAAGTCCTTGAAAGTTCTCCTAACAGGATGGCAGAGCTACAGGACGTGGGTACACACACGCTCGCTTGTTCCCCACCAAGAACACCCCATGTGCCCACAGCCCACGTCTCCCCGGCCACCGGCCCTGCGCTAACGCTGAGATCTTGATAAGCACGTCCAGTCTATTGCTACGACTCAGAGCTCTCTCCTCCACCTCCATCCCTCCCACGAGACAGACGAGTCAGAGACGATCATCTTCATCTAATGAGGCAGGGGGTGGGGCAAAGGCACAGATCCTGGCTGCTCCATGTGTAATCCACCCACCAGCTGGCACTATCTGCTAAGAACTACCCAGAAGCCATAATTAAGGGTGGCAACGCCTTCATGACGGTCAGTTTCTAGCATAGATTCCCTGCCAGGCATCTGATCTGGATTATTTCAATCCTTCTCACATCAATTCTATGAGGTTGATTCTAACACTGCTTCCACCGCCTGGCATTTCCCCCAGCAGACCCTGGATCCTTAATTGCATGTTTTCATGGCTGCTCAATCCATATATGTATTTTTAAGATTTATTTTTTATTTTTATTGAAAAGGCGGATATACAGAGAGGAGGAGAGATAAGAGAGGAAGATCTTTCGTCTGATGGTTCACTCCCCAAGTGACCACAACAGCCAGAGCTGAGCCAATCTGAAGCCAGGAGCCAGGAACTCCTCCAGGTCTCCCACGTGCGTGCAGGGTCCCAAGGCTTTGGGCCGTCCTAAACCACTTTCCCAGGCCACAAGCAGGGAGCTGGATGAGAAGCAGGGCCGCCAGGATTAGAACCAGCGCCCATATGGGATCCCGGCATGTGTGAGGATCTTAACCACAACACTATCACGCTGGGTCCCAATTTATATTTTTAAATGTCACTCATGTGTCTAAATTTTGAAATGATCTACAAGTTTTCTTTTAAAAAATTCAGTCATTTACTTAGCAACTACCTATTACCAGAGAGTAAATATCCTCATCTCTTGAGGTCATCTAGTCTCTGCTCCACTGCTCAGCTCTGCGTCAGAGCGTGAAGGCAGCCATTGGTGACATGCAAATGAAAGGGCATTCTGGAACCAGAGGTTACCAGCTCCTAGACTTAGATCCTCATATTTGACTCAATAAGAGCTTGTGCAGCAAGATTAAAACAAGTGCGGCAAGGCCAGCATTGTGTATACAGGTAAGGCTGCTGCCTGTAGATCCAGCATCCCATATGGATGCGGGTTCACGTCCCAGCTGCTCTGTTTCCTACCTGGATCCCTGTTAATAGCATGGGGAAGCAGTGGAAGTTGCACCAGGTATGAGTTCCTGCTAGCCACATGGCAGACCCAGAGGAAACTCCTGGCAATGGCCTGGCCCAACTCTGGCCATCCAGGGACTGACCCAACAGACTAGCTGTCTCTCTCTCCTCTTTCTGCTAACTCTTTCAAACAGTAAATCTTTTAAAAAGTGAAGCTCCTAAAGTTCATTATTTGTCTAAGATCATTCAATATATTGAGTCCCAATGCATGTCAGCTCCCACAGCTACCAATCCTCACACTGGCCCTACAGGCACGGGCGAATCCATACCTCCAGATCCTGGATGTGCAGCCTAGTGAGAAGAAGGGACTGGTGAGACTCTTCTACCAACTACGGGACTGCGATCTGCAGGGTTCCAGCAGAGGTCCCTGTCCTCACCCCAGGGCCCTAGGTGGTGACCGGGATGGCCTTGCTCTGCGATTGGCTCGCCCACCCGGCACTCACTTGACAGCAGTGGTGAGGCGCAGGGGCCTGACGCCCGGCGTGGCAAAGCGCAGAGTGTTCATGTAAGCCACGTGCTGCAGCGCGTGGTTGAAGGTCTCCACATCATCCCCCTCCAGGGTGAGCAGGGACTGCGAGGGGTTCACGTGGACCTGGGCCCCAGACACAGGCACAGCTGAGCGCTCAGGGGTGGGAGGAGTCAGGGCCGAGGGGGTGGGGCCGGGGACATGCGGGAGGGGAGGGGGAAGGGGCTGTACCTTCATGCCCTTGCCCAGGCTCTCGAAATCCCTATAATCCAGCCCCTCCCGACATGCATAGAGGCACTCGATGACCTCGCGGCTCTCCAGGCGACCTGAGCGCACGCTGAAACCAGCCAGGTAGCCATGGAAGTAGTGGTGGACCGGCAAGGGGTCTCCTAGGGCAGGAACACAGGGGCTGATGGGGAAGTGTGCGAGGAGAGGGGGCTGGGACCAGGGCCCGAGGGAGAAAGACAGAATGGCAGAGGGGAGAGAAGCAGGGTAGAAGGTAGGGGCGGAGAAGGAAAGAGAGAGAGAGCCCCAGAGGACAGAACAAAAGGAGAGAAGAGGGTGAAAGAAGGAAAAGGGGGAAAGAGGGTGCCGGCAGAGAGGGCTGCCCGCAGCACCATGCAGGGGACCGGGATGGATGTGTGCCAGCTCCACGCACACGCGAACTTCCTTCCGGGAAGGCAGCCTCCTACCACCGCCTGTCTGTGTTGAGCAGGTGAGAGAGAAGCCCTTGGCCTCAGCCCATGAGGGGTGCCTGGGAGGGGCCTTCCTGGGCTGCTCCCAGGAGCCCTGCACAGTCTCATGCCACCACTCTGCCCTAAGCAAGGCACAGAGGGCTAACGGACAAGGCCAGAGGAGAGCTGGGCAGCGAGGGCGCACGGGCTACCTTGGGTGCTGTCGGTGCTGTTGTCGCCTCCCTTTTCTTTCTCTTTGTTCTTCTCCTCTGGTGACCAACAATAAAAACGGCAATGAGGTCAGAGCAGAGAAGAATGTGCGAGGAGTCAGGTGCTGCCCACGGGCCTCAAAGCCGCAGGGTCAGGCAGCCCGGCTCCTCATGGCCCGGGTTCTGGCAGAGACCCCCAAGGGACTCACCAGTCCAGCAGGCCCCGATCATGAGGGCCGGCTCCCTTCGGGGCGGGTGGATGAGGCCATTGTCATGGATGAGAGCTGGGTCGAAGGAAATGCCATCAGTGTACAGCGTGACCGTGGGGAACTCGAGGTTTAGAGCATAGTGGTGCCACTCGTCATCGCACACCTGCAAGGGACGGGGAGGGAAGCGGTCACTTCCTGTTCTGGGAGGGAATGGTAGGTGTGGACCCCATCTTCCAGGAGTGAGGGGCTGCCCCTCACACTCAGCTCTACAACAAGGCTTACATGCAGACCCCTGGCCACCCAGCTCAAAGGGTGATTCTCCAGGACCCAAATCACCAGTACCTATTCCACTATCCAGGTAAATGACAACACCATAAGCATTCCTAAGAAAAGTCAAACTCGGGCAGGTTTGGGCCAGCGTTGTCCCAGAGTGAGTTAGGCTGCCACTTGGGCCACTAGCATCCCACACCACAGTGTCAATTTCAGCTGTGGCTATGCTGTTTCTGACCCAGCTTCCTGCTAAAGTGCCTGGGAAAACAGGTGAATGAAGGCCCCAGTACTGGGACCCCTGCTGCTCATTTGAGAGGCCCCGATGGAGTTTCTGGCTCCAGGTTTCAGCCTGGACCAGCCCTGGGCTGTTACAGTGACTGGGGACACTGAACCAGTACATGTCTGTCTGTCTGTCTCTCATTAGCTGATGCTGGGTCATTCCTCAAACACTCCCAACAGCCAAGCCTGGGCCTTTTCAAATTAGGAGCTCAGATCTCCTCCATGGGTATAGGGACTCAAGTACTTGAACCCTTATCAGCTGCTTCCCAGGATGTATATTCACAGGAAATTGGAATTGAAATCCAAGCCAGTCCTGGGACCCAGGCACACTGGCACGAGGGGCAAGGGTCCCAAGCACCAAATGCCCTCCCCTTGAATAAGCTTTTTAGGATAAACAAAAACAAAGGGTAGGCATTGTGGCATGGTGGCAAAGCAGGTTAAGTAACTGCTTAAAACGTCCATGCCTGGGATTTCCCATACAGGAGTGCTGGTGTGGGTTCCAAGGACTCCACTTCCGTCACGTACTTGAGAAGCCAGCAAATCATGGCCAAGTACTGTGTCCTTGTCACCCACGTGGGAACCCCTGATGGGCATTGCTGACTCCTGACTTTGACCTGGCTCAGTCTATCCAGCGTGGGCATTTGGTTGTGAACTGAGGATAGAAGATCTCTGTGTGTCCCTCCCTCTCTGTCACTCTGCCTTTCAAATGCATGATTTCAGAAAATACATATATATATTATTTATTTAAAAGCAAGACGGAGAGACAGAGAGATGTTCCATCAACTCATTCACTCCCTAAGTTGCCACAACAGCCAGAGCCGGACCAGACGAGCCAGGAGCTTCCTGCGGGTCTCCCATATGGCTGGCAGAAGCCCAGACACCTTCACCATCTGCTGCTTTTCCCAAGCCATCAATCGGCTCACCCAACCTTAGAAGAAAAGTACAAAAAAAAAAAAACCATAACATGGTCATGGACTGAAAGTAGAACATGAAAGAGGGAGTACGGAATAACCCAGACTATGCCAGCCTCAGTCCTAGAAGCTGGTTACGCCCCCGGCTGGGCACTGCCCTCACCTGCTCCAACTTCCAGAGGAACTTGACAGGGCGGGCACTCTCCAGCAGGGGCCAGTAGAGGAAGGCGATCCTGCAGCCATGGACGGTCAGAGAGTAATGAGAGAAGCCGTCCTCTGGGAGGAAGAGGGCACGGGTCAGGTGCGAGGGCCCGAGGCAAGAACAAGTTCAAAGCCACAGGAAAGCAGCACTGGAGTCTCCATATTCACATTCTCCTCTCTCTCACACACACACACACACACTCACACACACACTTACACACACTCCAGGCCCTGGGGAAGCAGGCTGCTGCCCAGCCTACCTTATCCAGCTCTTTCTCAGCCCACTGGCTGATAGCATACCTCCTGAGTGACAACTGCCATCAGCTCGGGAGGAATGGGAGAAGTGGCTGGAAATCAAAGAGCAGCTCAGGGCTGAGCTCTCCCGGGGAGACTCACCGTTCTGGACAGTGTTGCACACGATGGTCTCCTCCTCCTTCTTGCCCTTGTTAGGGGTCACACCGTGCTTCATCCAAAAGGACAGGGTAAAGTGGTCGCTGAGATTGTCCTGGGGTCCCGAGCCCAGTCCAGCTGTGCTCCCCAGGGGCACCTGCACAGCTTGGGTGCCATTGAACCAGTAGATGAGGCTGCTGTCCTGGCTGTAGTGAACTGAGAGCCCCGCCGTCCAGTTCGCATTGGGGCCGGGCATGGGCAACAGGTCCACCTCCCCGGTGGCAGCACCTGCAGGAGTTCCAGAAGCACAAGCATCAACACCGAGAGGCAGCAGAGACTCAAAGTAGAGTGACTGACAAGAAGGCAAACACCTGCTCACAGCCTCACGCCAGGAGGGGGGTGGGAGTAGATTTGGGGTACCAGAATAGGTAAAAAGCCACTTAGGACACCCACAGCCTGCAGCTCATGTTAGAGTGACAGGGTACAGTTTTGAATCTGTCCCTGATTCCAGCTTCCTGCTAACCTACCCTTTAACAGGAGGAGACTGGGGCCCAGAACTGTAGCCTAGTGGCTAAAGTCCTCGCCTTGTATGTACCAGGATCCCATATGGACACCGGTTCTAATCCCAGCTGCTCTACTTCCCATCCAGCTCCCTGACTGTGGCTTGGGAAAGCATTTGAGGATGGCCCAAAGCCTTAGGAGCCTGCACCAGTGTGCACCCGTATTTGGGAGACCCAGAAGAAGCTCCTGGCTCCTGATCGGCTCAGCTTCAGCCATCACAGCTACCTGGAGAGTGAATCAGCAGACGGAAGATCTTCCTCTGTATCTGACTTTCCCATAAAAGTAAAGAGACATCTTAAAAGAGAGAAAGAGGAGACTGGTGTCTCAAGTTCTCACTTCCCTTTCACCCACAGGGGAGGTACAGATGAAGCTCTTGGCTCCTGGCTGTAACCTGGCTCAGTCCTGGCTGGGGTGGGCCTTTGAGTGATAGGGAAGATAGAAAAATAATCTCTTAGGGCCAGTGCCGTGACATAGTGGATAAAGCGGCCCCCTACTGTGCCAGCATCCCATACAGGCACCAGTTTGAGTCCTGGCTGCTCCACTTCCTACCCAGCTAGCTCCCTGCTGATGCACCTGGGAAAGCAGCGGATGGAGGATGGCTCAAGTGCTTGGGCCTGGAGGAAACTCCTGGTTCCTGGCTTAGACCAGCACAGCCCTGGCCACTGCAGACATCTGGGGAGTGAACTAGCAGATGGAAGATCTCTCTCTCTCTCTCTCCCTCTTCCTGTCAGCCTCTGTAACTCTGCCTTTCAAATACCTTAGATAAATACATAAGATTTTCACTAAAAAAAAAAAAAAAAAGACAATAGAGGTATGAACCTGTCATCCAGGAATCTCTCCATTCCCCAGCGTTTTCTCTCTCCCTACCATTAGTCCATAAGGTATCCACAACTATTGCTACAGGCACATGGCTTTGCCAGAGAAGTGTTGGCCTATCCTCTAGGCCACAAGAGCACTCCCTGCCCCAGCCTCCATGGGTATATGCACCTGGCCATGTCCAGACAAGATAGGAGGCACATTCCTGGGACAGGGGCAGAGGAGATCCAAGCAGGAGCTAGACGGGAGGACCCGGTCCAGGGAGCACTGGGGTGCAGAGCGCACGTACCGCACAGCTTCCGCAGGGCCCGCTCTGAGTAATTGTCCCTGTCGCAGCCCTTCGCCACATGGCTGGTCTGCAGCTCTATGGTGGCCTGAATGTTCCAGAGAGGTTCATCGCAGGTCTCCAGACGGATCCCAGGGAACAGAGCCAAGCTCCCGGCACCCGGTGCATACTCAATCCTTTTGTTCCAGCCTGTGCGCGTGAGAGAGAGGAAGCAATGGCATGAGAGCAGGGGAAGACAGCTTATCCCGCTCACATTCCTCCTTGCCACGTCCACCCTGAGTTCCTAAGAAAATGGCCCAATCAGGGCAGAAGCCCGCCAACCAAGATGCTGCCAACCTCCAGCTGGCCTCCCCTAACCAGGACCATCAGAGACAGGAGAGAGCAGCATGAACAGTGGCTCCCAAGACTCCTCACCTTGCCAGCTGGGCTTACAGGTGGGCTTCACCTGGATCTCCACCTCCGCGTCATCAGCCGCCCGCTTCTTCCCGCAGTCATAAGCTGTCACGGTAAACTTGTAGAGTTTCTCACCGCTATACTGTAGTTTTTCTGTATTCTCAATGTTCCCTGGGGGAGGAGTGAGCGAGGTCAAATAGGGCCGTGAGGCGCTGGAACAGACTCAGGCAGGCCATGGGCAGGGATGAGCTAACGGGCTGCAGCTGGACCAGGAAGCTGGAAGCCCGGGACGAGGGACAGGAGACGGCGCTGGGAGGCCCTGAGGGACGTGGGTGACCAAAGGCCAGGCGGCTGGGACAGAGGCTGAGGGACGACTCACCATCATTATCAATGAGGAAGGGCGTGTTGGGTGTGAGGATCTCGTAGTAGCAGATCTGGCTGTACTGGGGAGAGCAGTCACCGTCGATGGCCTCCACGCGCAGGATGCGGTCATACAGCTTGCCCTCGGTCACCGCAGCACGGTACAACCGCTCCACAAACACGGGTGCAAACTCGTTCACATCGTTGACCCGCACGTGCACTGTGGCCCTGCCCATGCACCAGGGAGGGAGGAGGGACGGCGAGGAGGCATTAGCCAGAGCTCGGCAGCAGCAGGAGGCAGCCACTCGACCCCAGGTTCCTCCTCATCCCTACAAGATGCCAGGCTGCACCAAAGTCCTGCCAGAGACAGAGCAGCCGGAGAAGAGGGCCCGGATGGGAGCAGGTGGCTAATGTAAGCTTGTTTTGATGGCTTCTGTTCAGAATGCTACAGGCCAGGGGGCCAAGACAAGGGCTAAGGCAGAAGGCAGGGCAGGTCCTTCCCTCACCAGTCAGACCCAATGGGTTAGTGAAGTACACAGAGAGAAAATTAAATTCAGACCAGGCATAAGAAGGAAAACAGCATTTGCACAAAAATCCTAAGTTGGGGCCCTCATAGTGATGCAGGGAGTCAAGCCACTGCCTGCAGCATCCGTACAAATGCTGTTCGGGTCCCAGCTGCTCCTCTTCTGATCCAGCTCCTACTAGTGCATCTGGGAAATCAGAAGCTGCCCCTCCTGGACCAGCACTGCGCGCTAAGCATCTGCCTATGGTGCTGGCATCCCCTAGGGGTGCCAACTCAAGTTCCGGCAGCGTTACTACCAATCCAGCTCCCTGCTAATGTGCCTGGGAAAGCAGTGTATCCATGTGGAGGCCCAGAAGAAGCTCCAGACTCCTAGCTTCAGATTGGCCCAGCTCCAGTCATTGCAAGTCACTTGGGGAGTGAAACAGCTCATAGATCTCTGTCCCTCTCTCTTGGTAACTCTGTTTTTCAAATAAATTAAGAAGTCTTCTAAAAACACGTCATAGGTCACCTGTCACATCTGAGGAGTGAGCCCCGTGGGCCCTTCCTTGTGTGGCTATGAAATGTGTCAGTTGCGGCCTCTGCCTGCTCATGCACCCTCTGGGCCCTTCTGCCCTCCCCACTGCCAGGGAAGGTCCAGGCTCCCGAGGCCCAGATGTGAAAATACCAGCTCCAAGTGGGAAACTGAGTCACAAAGAACATTTCCTCCCTCGTGCCTCTGAGTGGCCTAGAAATCCTAAGTGCTAATCCTTCCCTGGCCCCCAAGTGAGAAACAGACCTGCGCATCTCTCAGGCTGTGGCCCCTTCCTGCCATGCCCCCGAGACCTGTGTGTTAGGACTGTGTGCGTTAGGACTGTGTGCGTTAGGACTGTGTGCGTTAGGACTGTGAGCGTTAGGACTGTGTGCGTTAGGACTGTGTGCGTTAGGACTGTGTGCGTTAGGACTGTGAGCGTTAGGACTGTGTGCGTTAGGACTGTGTGCGTTAGGACTGTGTGCGTTAGGACTGTGTGCGTTAGGACTGTGTGCGTTAGGACTGTGTGCGTTAGGACTGTGTGCGTTAGGACTGTGTGCGTTAGGACTGTGTGCGTTAGGACTGTGTGCGTTAGGACTGTGTGCGTTAGGACTGTGATCTGGGTTTGTTCATTCTCCCCTCCTTGTTGCCCTCCTCCCACACACTGTGACTTCCACCCCGTGCAAGGCGTTGAGCCCCAGCTTTCTGCACAACCCCTCCGGCGTCAGGGTCATCACCATCCCCACAGGACAAACACATCTAGCAAGGCTGACTCCAATTGCTCAAAGTCCTAGGAGGCAAAACCAGGACCAGGCACACTGATTCCTGCTAGATTTTCTGCCGTCCTGACTGAGAAAATGCCTAAACCCCTGTGACCAGTGGAGCTGGCTCCTCCCCTGGCACGGACAGGGGGCAGCGCAGGGCTGGGGAGCAGGGAAGACATGGCTGTGCTCACTTGTGGGACTTCTTGGTGTTGGCGCCGTCGGGGCCCTCGCCACAGTCGTAGGCCTGGATGGTGAACGTGTGTTCCTTCTGGGCCTCGCAGTCCACTGGCTCCTTGGCCCGGATCAGCCCCTCTCCCGTGGCCTTGTCCAGGATCACCGCTTCAAAGGGAACCCCAGCCCCGTGGAGCCGGAAACCGCAGATCTCACCTGGCCAAGGACAGCGGGGAAGGAGTGAGGCTCTGGACCGCCCGCTGCAGCCCCTGCCCTGCCCGCAGCCTCCCCCTCTCCTCCCACAGCCCTGGCCTCATCATCACATATTCCACTCCCACCCCAGCTCCCAGAGCAGCAGCCACAGACCTGAGATCTGGCAAACCCAGGCCACGGTTAACTCCTGCCTGCCCATGCCCTCTCGGGCATCCCTGCTCAGTCTGCATTCTTCAATGTCATCCTTCTCCTTCCTTGAGCCCATTTCTGCTTTCCCTTTTTCCCCTCCGCCCTCTGCCCTCCCACCCTCACTTCTTGCTCCTGTCCTGCCTCGCCACCCCAACCCCAAGCACCTGCATAGCGCAGGGGGGCATCTTTATCCAGGGCAAAGAGCGGTGGGTTCAGCAGCACCGTGTTGTCATTCTCCATGACGATGCCCTGGTATTCCGCCTCGATCCATGGCTTGTGCTTGTTGGCTGGCCCCACCCCAGGGGGGAACAGAGGAAAGGTCCATCAGTTGCGTGCAAGCAGGGAGGCCTCCACTCCCACCCCAGCCCCGGACTAACCAGGAAACCCCCACCCCAGTATCATTGCCCTTTGTAGCCGAAGATAGGAAATTGGCTACAGAAGGAGTCAGGGGGTCCGTGGGAGGTCACAGCCTCTGCCTGTGGCAGGATAGATAGTTTCCATGGCAACAACCAGCCCTATGGAGGTGGGGCCCTGTGGGGAAGGGGACCACCTGTCCCCTAGGAGCCAGGGTCAGTGGCTGGAATTTTCTTGAAGGATTTCACCTGCTGGAGAATGGAAACTGAGGGGACCCACAGGGCAGGGAGGGACCCACAGGGCAGGGAGGGACCCACAGGGCAGGGGGTACCCACAGGAGGCTCCAGGAAAAGAAAGAGCTAGCTGAGGGGCAAGGTTGAGACCAGCAGAAGAGGATCTAGAAGGTTCCCTTTCCTATGCACTTGTCCAGCCAAGCCCCAACCTCAGGCCATTCCCCCACAGCAGAGGAAGAGACGAAAGCTGAGCGAAGATGATATATAGGACAGAGGGAGGGGGACAGAGGAAGGCAAGGAGAGAGTCGAGGAATCCATGCCACTGACTGGACGTAGCAGAGCCAACATCCCAAGGGATTACTGAGCTGCCCTAGAAACACAGCAGATCCCATGGCCCTGACACACACACCCTGCTTCCCACCCCTGGCCCCAAAGGACCACAGTCAGAACCAGCACACTGCCACCTCCTCCACAAGGCCACCCAGCCCCACACCCCCTGAACCCCACTTGGTATACAGACGCACGACTTCATTCCTGTCTGCCCGGCCCTCCTCCACTCTGCCACCAGCCAAGGCAGAGAGGACGGGTGTGAGATTGTCTCAGACTCCCAGTTCTCCCACAGGTCCAACAAGGATCCAGCCAGGACCCCTTCTGGGGACCAAGTTCCCACCAGCCTGGTGAGGGGCCCCAGCACTCACGGCACATTCCTCACCCTCCACCTCCCTATAGCTCTGCCCATCTGACCCATCACGCCAACACCCAAGCTCCCCAAGCATGTCAGCTGGACATGGGGGAGGACAAGGCTGGCCGCACACAGCATTGGGGGAACTGAGTCACTAACGGGCACCTTGACCCCATCACTGCTGGTGGGCATCAAAAGTCCATCTCCATCCTCTTCCCCAACCCCAAGCTCCATCAGCTGGCCCCCTTGTCACCCACTGCCCCTATGACCCCTGGGGCCTGGTGGCTAAGAGCCACAAGATGGTGCGCAGGAGGCAGCAGTCAGCGGTGGGCGGCCGAGGCAGGGGCCACTAAGGAGAGGAGCCCCGCCAGAGCCAGGGGCGCTACCGGGGAGCGTTGAGTCCCACCTTCCCGGCTCAGAGGGGTGAGCCCGGTTCCTCTCCCCCAGCCGCTGGACCTGCCTCGCTCCGCTCCTCTCGCTCTCTCCCCCTCACCAGACCCCTGGCTTTCCAGACACCCCTTCACCAGCCTTTCACCCTTTCCCATTCCCTTCCTAGCCTTCGCCCACGCCTGCCCTCACTTCCTTCTCAGCTTTCCCTCTCCCCGTTCACCTGCCACCCTCCCACTACCACACACACACCCACGGTGGTCCTTCTCGGAGCCCCCAGCGCCCCCAGCCCGCCCCTCCCACTGCTGCGCGCCAGCGAGGGCCGCTCTGGGGCGCCGAGCCCGGCGGATGCGGGCTCAAGGGAACCGATGCAGAGGAGAGCGCACTGCCAGACGTGCCCAGAATCGCTGAGCGTGGTCCAACAGTTGCTGCCCAGGACGGGATGGATGGAGACGCAGTAGAGGGATCTGCCCCCAGGCCGTGCACGCCCCGCTGAGAGCAGAAACCCACCCCACACTCCGGAAGGCAGCCCCCCAGAACCCCAGCCTTCTGCCAGCCCCGGGCAATGCGGGAGGAAATCCAGGACGCAAAAGGGGAGCAAGACTCCAGCGATGGTCCACGAGACCGGATGCGGCGTGAGAGGGGCAGGCGGTGGACGGAGAAAAGCGACGGGCAAGGCTACACCTGGCAGGCGCCAGCCAGCCCCAAGCCCCCCTTCCCCACCCCCACACCACTGCCCCCCCACCTCACTCACCTTTGATACCCGAGCTGGGCGGGGGCAGAGATGCCAGCAAGAGGGGCAGGAGCAGGAGGGCCATGGTGCCGAGCGGGGCAGGGCAGGGCAGGGCCAGGCTCGCGGTCCCCAGGGAGCCGCAAGCCTGCAGATGCCACCTTGGCGGAGGACGCCGGGGCTCCCCGAAGAGGGGACGGAACGGCGGGGCCGGCAGCAGGGCAGCCACAGAAAAGGAAACGACCCCCGCGCACGCTATGCCATAGAGCCGGGCCAGGCAGACCCCGAGCCCGGAGACCGAGGTGGGCGACTCGAAGCGGCCCCCTCTCGTTCCCCCGCGAGCCCCGCGTCCTCGCGCTCTCTCACTCCCACCCTTGCCCGCTACTGCAGGATGACGTCAGCACCGCCCGGCGGGATTGACGGGGCCGCGGCCCAATCGGGAGGCGCGGGGAGCCAGGTGCTGCAGCGCGGGGGCGGGGACCAAGGAGGCCGGGGAGCAGGGGAGGGGGGTCGGGTTAGCGCTTCTTCCCTTGCCGGCAATTGGGGGCACAGAGCACTGACTGCGGGGGTTAGGGCGGGAGCTGGGAAGTCATCCAGAGGGACGTGGGGAGACTGGAAAAGCGAGAAGTCCGGGGGAAGAGGCAGGCCATGAGGATGGAGACGTCAGCGGAGCCCTGAGGGCGGCCAGCAGGGGCTGCAGCCGCGTCACCCGCCCCCAACTCTGCCTGCACCTCTTTCCACCGCCTGATCTATCAGCCAGGCCCTGCTGCGTGCCTTCCGGGAGCTGCCAAGTAAAGCCTACCTCCTGAGCCCGCGAAAGCCAATGCTTCACCACCCACCCACCCCACGCCCCTCCAAACCGGTGGAGGGGTGGAGGGGCCCGAGGGTGGTCAGCAGAGTCCTAGAGCTGCAGGAGAAGTGAGGGGTCTGTGGAGCCTGTCTCCACACAGCTCTGCAGTGCCTGTTGGCCCACCGCCCCACTCCCCAACCTCCCTGTCCCTCTATGTCACTCCTGTAGCCGAGAGGAACCAACCGGATAGATTCTGAACTTGGAAGGAGGCTCCTGGTTTGGGAGAGAAGTGGGCCAGGGGATGGGTGCACAATCATTTGCCTGTCACCACCCTGACAGCTGCCTGTATGACCAGGAGGGGGGTGCTGTCCATGAGCTGGGTGCTGAGGTTCCTCACCCAGGACTCCCAGGGTGGAAAGCCAACAAATGCCAAATCATTAGCCAAAACCTTCCCTCTGCTTTGGGGCTGGGAAGCTGGCACCCCTCAGGCTGCCCCCAGCCCCCATGCCCTCCTCTATGGCAGGGAAACACACTTTATGTCCTGCTGCCCCCTACCCCAGGCCTTCCACTTCATTTCAGCCAACTAACGACCCAGCCTCTTGCCCTCCCATTTTTGGGGGGCCCTGCCTCAGGTTAGGGACTGAGGCTGTGTGGTCTAAACTCACCCCCGCCTCCCTCCCTCCTTCTCCCCTCTCACCACCCCATTCAGACACAGCCAGGAACATCTGTACCCAAACCTGCCCAAACTGGGGTGGAGGCCCAAAGTGACCTTGGAAATGGCTGGCTGGCCTGGCTGGCAGCTCCAGTCCTTGCCCCTGCTTCCTTTCTCAGGAAAAGCCAAACCTCTAGCCTGCGGTCAGGCTGCGCACTTCGGTCCCTAACTTCTTCTGGGGAGAGGGGGGATGGCCGGCAGGGACTCTTACTGCAGCAGGGCCTGGCCCTATAAAAGCCTTGGCTGGTGGACCTTCACACACAGCTGCCGCTGGGCCACTCATCCTCCCCTTCCAGCCAGCACACCTCCCAGCCCTCCTCCTCCTCACCCTGCCTCCACTATTCTCGTGAGACCCTGGCCTCCATCTGGGACCATGCCCCCCAACCTTACCGGCTACTACCGCTTCGTCTCACAGCAGAACTTGGAGGACTACCTGAAAGCCCTGGGTAACTGCTCGCATTCCTGGCTGGCACTGGCTCTCACCCCTCCCTCTCCCTGACTGCTAAGAAGGAGCCATGCTGGGGTCGCAGCTGGTGGACAGTCTCCCATCGCTGGCCAACTACTAGCTCAAAATGCTAGTATGAGATTCTTCTCCAACCAGGGGCTTTGTTGGGAGAGGTTAAATCTCCATTCCTGAACCCAAGGGAGGCTCCCTACCCAGCAGAGCTCCTGGCTGGCTGGCAGGACCCCTGCTGAGAGATGCCCACCCCACCCCAGACATCCACGTGGCTGTGCGAAAGGTGGCGCTGCTGCTGAAACCGGACAAGGAAATCAGCCAACAGGGCGACCGCATGACGGTGAAGACCCTGAGCCCCTTCCGCAGCTACGTTATGGAATTCAAGGTGGGAGTTGAATTTGAGGAGGACCTGAAGGCGGTGGACGGCCGGAAATGCCAGGTACCCAGCCGGTTGGCGGAGGGGAGGGAGAGAGAAGGGGTTGGGTGGATGCTTCCTAACAAATGACCCCATGCCAGAACCAGGGCAAGTCCATAATATGGACTTTTGAAAGAGTCCAAATAAACTGCCCTTTAATTCGATTTTCCGGTCAATGTTGGAGGTGCCCTTACACACCACTCCTGGCTATATCCTCTATGTCCACTCCTCTGCTGCCCTCTACCACTGCCCTGGACATGCACTCTCCCAGCTGAGTTTGTCCTGCGCTCCCCGGGGGACAGTGTCAGCTTCCTGAGAAACGTTACCACTGACCTCATCAAGTCAGACTCGAATTCATTATCTTCCTGCTCAAACATACTTTGCTGCTCGATTTACGGTGTCCATTTATGGTGATAATGTGACGGTCAGGGTCAGCACCTCTGGCTTCCTTGGCTCTCTGTGCCTGAGGCAGACGCATGTGTGTGCACACAGGCGGGCACTCCCGCACGCACACACAGCTCGCATGGACCTGGTCAAGAAGCCATTTCCGCACAGCCCAATATGGTAACTAATCACCACAAGTAGCTACGGAATATTTAAAATGCAATTCATCAAAAGCAAGATGTTCCGTCATCTTAAAATCGACATGTCGCCTTCTAATAGCCTCCTTCTCCCCCCAGGAGAAAGAATCTAAAACATCTCAGAAATTTTGATACTGACCACATGCAGAAATTATAATATTTGGGTGTTTTAGGTTCAATAAAGTATATCATTAATTCTACCTGGTTTGGTTTTTTTTGTTTTGTTTTTTGTTTTGTTTTGTTTTGTTTTGCTTTGCTTTTCCAGTAGGACTCCTAGAAATGTTGAAATTATGACCCATTTGGTTTCCATTAGATGTCACTCTTCAAAATGGAACTTCCCAGTTGTCCCCCAGCCTTTCTCAATCTCAGCACCTTAATTCAGGCCCCCTTTTTCACCTTGCATCTGAAATGTGCCCCAGTCCTAACATTCCTTCACTTCACTCGGTGTAGGGTAAGGCCCTGACTCCATCTAAAACGAAAACATGAGGCCCTGGCTCTGTCTGAAAAGAAAAAAACGGCCACGTCAGACCCCACTTGGAACTCTCCAGTGACCATCCACTATAGTCCAGAAAAGTCCACGTGCTTAGTGGGTGTGTGGAATACCTCCTTATCCACCTTTCACACCTGTACCCCAGGTTCAAGCCCTTCGGCACTATCTACCCCTCTCTTACCTCCGTGCCATTTCTTTCCTTTCTAGAAACTTCCAACTGTGTCCCATCAGGGATTGTCAACAACCCTGTTTGCTGAGCCTCTGGTTGTTCAAGACTTGAATTCCTTGTCTAGTCACTAAATGTGGACTGGCCTGTCCACACTCAAAGGGTCAACCCTTGCCTTCCTTGGACCTGTCAGCCATCCTTGAAACTAAGAAGGCAGGGATGGGGTGGGGAAAGAAATTATACCGACCCCAAACTCTTGCCTTTCCCCCAGAGTCCCCCCGCCAGGTCAGCCAGAAGCTGACCTCTCTCCCCTCTTGCCAATCCAAGCCTCTTGCCAGTCCCTTGGTCTCCAGCACAAAGGTAGGCAGTTATGGCCCCTCAGCTGACCTCAGGTGCAGGCAGTTAAAGCCTCTTTGTATCACTCAGAGTGAAGGAGCTGGGCAGCAGTGGGGTATCCTGCCCCGCCAGCTGCCTTCATCCCTGCCTTCCCCCCACAGACCACAGTCACCTGGGAGGGGGAGCAGCTGGTGTGTGTACAGAAAGGAGAGGTCCCCAACCGAGGTTGGAGACACTGGCTGAACGGAGAAAAGTTGCACCTGGTAAGCAGGGTGAGGACTGGGAGGGCAGACACGAATGGGCCTGTCTGGAGGAGGGGTCACCCCTTAGCCCTGCTCCTCTCGCTTCCCAAGGGAGAGAAAGGACCCTGGGAAGAGTGGGAAGAGGGGCCAGGTAGGCCCTGGCTTCAAGCCACGTGGCTGCCTGTGATCTTACTCCAAGAGACAGATACTTGGCTGGTTTCTGTCTCACTGAGCTGGCTCTCTTCCCTCCTTGGGAATGGAAGTTTAGAACCGTGATCCAATTCCCCATCCTTCAGCCACTCCAGCTGCTTTCTCCTGAGGCTCTCAGTGGGTGGAGCTCAGGAACTCATGAGTCCCTGTCCCTCCCCAGGAGCTGACCGCAGGAGATGCTGTGTGCCAGCAGGTGTTCAGGAAGATCAGATAGCCCAGAGGGGAGGAGACCCCTGCACCGCAGCAGCATCCACTTTGCACTGGGATGCACCAAGATGGCACCGGGTCCGTCACCCCTGCCTCAGACCAACTTCCCTCCCTCCCCATGTTAATCTGTAACCTCTCACCCATCCACGGCCCACTGGCTGGCCTCACTTGAAGTTCAAGGTCTGGCCTCCTGGATGAAAGAAACAGGCAAAGGCCAAAGAGCTGTGGAGACCAGCCAACCTCCACTCTGCAGTTCCTCTGGCCTCTCGTCTTCCTTCTAAGAACTAAGCATGGTGCATTAGGCGAAACGCCAGCAGAGTGACAACTCTGTGCAGGCTGGGGGTGGATGGGAGGGCGAGGGTGCATTCGAGCTGGATCAGATGTAGAGCAGCCAGGACACGAACTGGTGCCCATATGGGATGCTAGTGCTTGGAAGTGGAGGATTAGCTAGCTGAGCTTTCGCACTGGCCCTTCCTTCATGCCTTGCCTCCATTTCTGCTATGGGAAGTAGAGACACTAAAAAGACCAGAAAAAAACTGATGGTAAAAGCAGTTGGGGCC